GCTAGTGATGTCCAAGAGTGTGGGAAGGACCAGTGCCTTCAGCGCTTGGTGACAGCGCTGACAGCTAATTCTGACCCTTCACAGAGAGGGAGGAAAGGCCGGATCCTGTTTTGAGGAAGGGGAGCTCCCCTGCCCCTCCCTTGGCTGAAATCACCCCAACAGAAGAAAAGCACAACACTGGACTTTGTGTGCTAGGTCAGTTTATTACCTCCCTACCCATCATTATGGTGTCCTATAATGTCTTTTCTACCAGGCACTTAATAAAGAACCCCTGGCACCCAATCTGGGGCGTGATAGCAGCCTTCTGTCCATCCTCTGCAAGCCTGCACAAAGCAAGCCCTGCCTTGCAGGCAGCTGCCTGCCCTCTCCTTCTCTCTCCTCAGCTCAGTGGTCAGCCTGTCCACCCGGCCCTAGGCTGTGTGCCTCTCCCAGTCTCTTCTACAGAGCTACATGTGCAGCTTCTCCCCTCTGCTGCCTCACCCCAGTGCATCATGCTGCCTAAGGAAGGCAGGGGCATGTACCACAGACAAAGGCTGATTGCCTCTGAGACGTTGCCCTAAACAACAGGCACTTTAGAAAAAGGAACAGGCTTTATTTGAGAGCAGGGGCAGGTCTGGTGCCTGCGGAGCAGCTCCTCACTTAGGCAGCAGCTCCCCCAGAGTATGCAGCTGTGTGCTGGTGGCTCCCAGCCCTATCACACCAGAGCATACCCCAGCAGCAGAGTGGGCTCCCTGTGACACTGCTGCACTGACACTGTCCTGCACTGCAGGACAAAGTCTGTTCTGGCCAGGAACACTTGAGTCTTTGGAGCGCCGGAGTCCTCTTACATGAGGGTGTCCTCGTTCCGCACGTACTCCCCAACATCAGCCTGGTGGAACACCACGATGGCCATGGGATCCACCTTCCGGCACTCCTGCGTGGACTTGGCAGCCACCCCAAAGCCCTGAATGAACAGGAGATAAGAGTTTACCCCCCAACCCTGTACTCCCGCCCTGGGAAGCACGGGGTCCGCACCAACCACTCACCAGTGGGACGTCAGCCATGGAGTACACCACCACTCCCTGGTACTGAGCTGTGTTCTCTGTGATGCGGCCCAGGCCCGACTTCAGGACATGGTTGCCATAAAGAAAAGACTGCTCCGAGCCCGGCTTCACCCACACCTTGAACTGCAAGAGAGACACAGCACGATGAAGGGCTGGGGGATGCTGGGGGCCGGGGGCTGCCGGGGGCCGGTTCCCACCTTGGCGTAGGGCGCGAGGAAGTCCAGAGCCGTGACACTGAGCCGGAACTTCTGCGTCTTGGTGAACTTCCCGAAGCAGGTGCCCAGCGCCGTCAGGCTCTCCCGGGGGATGCTCGCCGCCACCTTCAGCAGCTTCTCGCTGCGGGGATCGGGAACAGAGCTGGAGCAGCTCCGGGGCAGCGCCCGCTGCCCGGCGCCCCGCTGCCGGCCCTCGCCTCACCTCACGTAGTAGACGCGGTCGCGGTGCAGGCGGAAGCAGTAGGTGCCATCGGGCCGGTCCACCAGCAGCTGGATGTTCTCACCGATGCTGCGGGGACACACGCCGTGAGCCCTACCCGGTCCCCCCGCCACCCCCTCCCGCCCCCCCCGGTGCCCCCGGCCCCTCACTATCGCCCCAGCTTCTCGAACACCGTCCGCGTCTCCGCCTCCGTCAGCGGCCGCATCGCCCCACGCCGCACACGCGGGACGCCACCGGAGCCACCGGAACGGGAAATGAGCGTCGGAACAGGAAGTGCCGGGCCGGAAGTGGCGCGGCGCCCCGTTGGAGCGGCGCGATGGCGGCGGCGGCGGCGGCGGAGGAGGCGCGGCTGCTGGCCTGGCTGCGCGGCCCCGCGGCGCCCGGTGGGCCCGAGCTCTCGGCTTACGTGTCCGAGCTGGCGGCGCTGGGGCTGGCGGAGCTGGGCCGGGAGCCGGCGCGGCTGGCGGCGGAGCGGGCGCGGGTCGGGGCGGAGACCCGCCGCTTGGCCTTCGAGCACTACCGCGCCTTCATCCGGTCCGCCGAGTGCACCGGGCGCGCCGGACACGGCTTCGGCGGCATCGAGAGCCGCCTCGGGAGCCTGCTGGAGCGCCTGCCCGCGCTGCAGGACGCCTGCCGGTGCGGGAACGGGCACCGGGGGGGAGCCCGCCGGGGACTCGGGGAGATCGGGGGTGGCGGGGAGCGGGGCGGTGAGGGCACGGGGGGAGATGGAGGGAGGCTGGGACAGGGTCTGACGGAGCACAGGCGGCCATGGGGCAGTGGAGGGCTGGGCTGGGGAGTGAGAGGGAGGTGGTGCTGAGCTGGGAAGGATGGGACTGAGGGGAAATAACGGAGGGTGTGAGGGTCCCGGGGTTTACCTGCTGCAGGGGAGAGCCTCGTGCTGATCCCACCCTGATCCCGCAGGAACTTCATGCGTGATGCCGAGGAGATCGCCTGCAGCCGGCGCATGAACAGCCTGACGCTGAACCGGCACACGGAGATTCTGGAGATCCTGGAGATACCGCAGCTCATGGACACCTGCGTCCGCAACGGCTACTACGAGGAGGCGCTGGAGCTCGCTGCCTACGTGCGACGGCTGGAGAGGAAGCACAGCACCATTCCTGTGATCCAGGTAGGATCTGCTCTGCCCCTGCCCTGTGCCACCCTGCACCCAGCTCCTGTGGCTGAGGTCTCTGTCCCACCCCAGGGCATTGTGGAGGAAGTGCGCCAGTGCACCCAGCTGATGCTGAACCAGCTCATCCAGCAGCTCCGCACCAACATCCAGCTTCCAGCCTGCCTGCGGGTCATAGGCTACCTGCGCCGCATGGATGTCTTCACGGAGGCTGAGCTGCGCATCAAGTTCTTGCAGGCACGGGATGCGTGGCTGCGTTCCATCCAGGCCTCCATCCCCGATGACGACCCCTACTTCCACATCACCAAGACCATCGAAGCCTGTCGCGTCCACCTTTTCGACATCATCACCCAGTATCGCGCCATCTTCTCCGATGAGGAGCCGCTCCTGCCCGCCGAGGGTCAGGCCCTCAACGAGGGGGCCATCTTCCACAGCTGGGTGCTGCAGAAGGTGTCTGAGTTCCTGCGGACGCTGGAGCGCGACCTGCGGCGTGGGGTGGGCGGCCGCCTGGACTCGCTGCTAGGGCAGTGCATGTATTTCGGCCTCTCCTTCAGCCGGGTAGGGGCCGATTTCCGCGGGCAGCTGGCGCCCCTCTTCCAGCATGTGGCCGCCAGCGCTTTCAGGAAGGCGGTGGAAGAGGCAGTGGAGAAGTTCCAGGAAGAGATGAATTCCTACACTCTCATCTCTACGCCAGCAGTGTTGGGGGGCACCGTGGGGGTCCCGGTGCCCATGGCCCAGCCAGGGACGCTGCAGCCTCCCATGGTGCTGCTGGACTTCCCACCCCTCGCCTGCTTCCTCAACAGCCTCCTCGTCGCTTTCAATGACCTGAGGCTCTGCTGCCCCATAGCCCTGGCACAGGATGTCACCACCTGCCTGGAGGATGCGCTTGGTCAGGTGAGGTGCCAGGGGATAGAGCTGTGCCTTGTCCCAGGAGGACATGGGGGCAGGCTCGTCCTGCTCTGAGTACTGGTAGGATGGAATCATAGACTCATTTAGGTTAGAAAGAACTTTTTAAGATCAACAAGTCCAAGTGTTAGCCTGGTAACCGCCAAACCACCGCTAAACATGTCCCTAAGTGCCGTGTATCCGTGTCCTGGTGACTCCACAACTTCCTTGGGCAGCCTGTTCCAGTGCTTGACAACCCTTTTGGGAAAGAGGTTGTTCCTAATCTCCAGTCCAAACCTCACCTGACACAGCTTGAGGCTGTTTCCTCTTGTCCCATCACTTGTTACTTGGGAGAAGAGACCGACCCCACCTCACTACATCTTCCTGTCAGGCAGCTGTAGGGAGCAATGAGGTCCTCCCTGAGCCTTTTCTCCAGACTGACTCCCCCCCCCAAATCCCTCAGCCATTCCCCATCACACTTGTGCTCCAGGCCCTGCACCAGCTCTGGTGCACTTTTCTGGCCCTGCTCCACACCTCAATGTTGCTCTTGTAGTGAGGGGCCCAGAACTGAGCACAGGATTTGAGGTGAAGCTTCACTGGTCCCCAGTGCAGGGGAACAGTCACTTCACTGGCTCTGCTGCCACGGTGTTGCTGATACAGGCCAGGATGCTCTTGTCCACTTGCACGCAAGCTGGCTCATGTTCAACTGCTGTTGACCAACACCCCCAGGTTATTTCTGTGGGCGGCTTTCCAGTCACTTTTCCCCGCAGCTGAAGCATTGCATGGGGTGGTTGTGAGCCCTATTGAACCTCGTACAATTGGGTGGGAAAGGAGCGTCCATTTTACGTGCGGGGTTGTCTGCGGGGAGTATTAACAACTCTGCTTTCCACCCCAGGTGACTAAAACCATCCTGGCCTTCCACCGTGCGGAGGAGGCAGCTTTCAGCGGGCGGGAGCAGGAGCTCTTTGCCCAGTTCTGCACGGCTTTCCTGGATGACCTGCTGCCCTACCTGAACCGTTGCCTGCAGGTCCTCTTCCCGCCAGCACAGATCGCACAAGCACTGGGTGAGATCCCAGGGGGTTGTGTCTAGTGGGGAGCCTCATTGCCCCCTAGTTCTGCTGGTCCCGCCTCTGTGGGGCTTCCCTTTGCCCACAGGCTCGCACCAGCCCCCCTTTCCCTCTCTGGCAGGCGTCCCCCCAACCCAGCTGCAGCGCTTCGGCCACCTGGGCCGCATCAACGTGGTCGCTCTGAGGGACTCGCTGGCTTCCCTGCTGCCGGCTCCACCAGATGAGGAGGAGCCTCTGCGCCCGAAGGAAGAAGAGGAGGCCGAGTCCCTGCCCACACCCCTGCCTGCACACGGGCAGGAGGGGTCCCCCGAAGGGGCTCCGCTGCCGACAGCGACCACGGAGTAGCGGGGCCGGGGCTGGGGCTGGGGCTGCGCCGCGTCACCCCGTCACACCCTTCGGTCCTCCCCGCCGGCAGGGGTCGCCGTCTCCCCCCGTCGTGCCCGGCGGGGTTTGCACATGGCGGCGGCGCTGGCGGCGGGGCGGCGCGGGGCGGCGCGGGCGGTGTTGGGGCCCGGTGCGGGCCGCGGGTGCGGAGACGCCGCGGGCTGGGCCCAGCGGGAGCGCTCGTACTGGCGGGCGCTGCGGCGGAGGGTGCTGGGCCCGCCCGCGCCGCCCTTCGCCGCCCCCTGCCAGGTGGGAGCCCCGGTGCTGCGCGCGGCCGCCGCCGCCGTGGGCCCGGAGCTGCTGGGCGGCTCCGAGCTGCGGGAGCTGGCGGCGGCGCTGGCGGCCGGGCTGCGGAGCGGGCCGTGCCTGGGGCTGAGCGCCCCGCAGCTCGGGGTGCCGCTGCGGGTGTTCGCTGCCGAGCTGCCCCCCGCCCTCTGCCAGCGGTACCCGGCGGCGCTGCGCCGCGCTCACTGCATCGAGCCCTTCCCGCTCCGCCTCTTCGTTAACCCCGTGCTTCGCGTCGTGGACGCGCGGCTCGTCACCGGCCGCGAGGGCTGCGCCAGCATCCGCGGCTTCTCTGCCTACGTCCCGCGCCATTGGGCCGTCAGTGTGTCGGGTACGCACCCCACAGCCCTGCCTGCACCCCCGGCGTCTGCCCAGCGCCGTGGTTGCTCCCTGACCGCTGCTCTCTGGTAGCAGGGGTGGACGAGCACGGGGAGCCGGTGAGCTGGGAGGCAAAGGGCTGGGCCGCCCGTGTTGTCCAGCATGAGATGGACCACCTGGATGGCATCCTCTACATCGACCGCATGGACACACGCACCTTCACCAATATCAGCTGGATGGAGCTGATGGACTGACGCCCTCGGGCCTCATCCCACTGGAGAAGAGCTGCAGCGGGGCCCCGCACCGGACACTGGCCAGAGGGGCATCACGGCACTGCATGGGCTCCTACTCACCATTACTACAGCCAAAATACACAGTGAAGCCTCAGCCTGGCTCCTGGCCCTTCCTGCTCCTGGGTTGGGGGTGGGACAGGGGTTCAGCCCTCATTGTTCTGACTGCTGTAGTCATCGTATGAGTCTAGGAACCAGCACCACTGCCAGGGCTGTACTGGAAGAGGGAACCCCTTTTCCAGGGCTTGTTTGTGGTCTGGGGTGGAGCTGGGGATGGGACGTGCAGTTTGGGTGAGATGGGGAGGCAAGCTGGCAGGAGCCCTTGTGGCTCTTCCCTTGGCTGGGGACTGCTCTCAGAGGGGGCAGAGCACTTACACTCTGCCTGGGTACAGGCAGCAGCTCCCAGCGGCTCCTGCCTGCACACAGCAGTTGCACAGGCACTGTGTTACTGGGTGGAATTGAGGGGCCAAGCTGACCCCTGCCAGTGCAGTCAGATCCTCATGGAAGGGACCAGGCACCACCTGAAGCTTTTGGATTGTTTTTATTTTCATATAAACAAGACAGAACCCAAAGCAGCATTAATTTAAAAAATAAAAAAGAGCAGGAAGAAGAGTGGGGTGCAGCCAGGGGGGGCAATCAGCTCCCACGCCGTGCCCAGATACCCTCCATCCCCCCCACCCCGGGCCATCCATCCGGGCCCCACCAGGTGCTGCAGTGCAATTGGGTGAGCGGTGAGCAGAAGATAAACCTGTTTGGCACAGGCAGCAGGGAAGGGGCCACCCCAGCCCCACACCCTACCCACCCCTCAGCCTTCCTGTCCGAAGTCCTCCGTGAATTTCTTCACCTTCAGCAGATCGTCAGTGTTCACGGTGGGGCGGGTGGTGGCCAGTGAGCGCAGCATGTCCGACTGCAACACAGGCAGCTGCGAGCTGACACAGGGTAGGGACCCCCCAGCCCCCAAGCAGTGCAGGCAGCTCTGCCCACCCGGCAGGCTGCCATGGGCCCCAGTGTCCCAAGGGGTTCCTGCAAGCAGAAGGGCCCCCTAACACACCCCAGCCCTGCCCAACCCTTGGCCGGGGACAGAGAGACTGGAGGAGGAACAGGGATGTGGCAGGGCACTGCTGGCCTGCACCAGCCTCCACGCACCGGGATGGGTGCCTGGCACTGCGGCAGTGACCACACTCACCATACAGACCATTGGCTCCATTAGCTTGTCACTGGGCACCTCCATCCAGGTCATCTCAGTGGCTCCCGGGTCGCCAGGCGAGCACGGCATCAGGAGGTCATCCACAAAGGTGCCAGGGCTGGTGCGGGAGGGACCACGGACCTGCAGCAGAGCGGCAGGGTGGGATGGTGGCCACAGCACCAGCACCAGTTATGGGGCTCCCCCACCACCCCAGGACAGGCCCCCCAAACCAGGAGCTGTCCCCACTCACCTTCTTGAAGTGTGTGGCCGACTGCACCTTGCGTACAGGCTGCATCAGGGCATCCCGCACAATAATGCTGATGTCAGCCCCTGAGTAGCCATCAGTCTTGTGGGCCAGCTCCTGGATATTGGCCTCGGTCAGGCTGTGCGGGGTGTTGCCAAGGTGCAGCTTGAACATCTGGGCCCGTGCTGCCTCCTCAGGCAGCGGGATGTAGATACGCTTCTCAAACCTATGAGCAGTGCAGGCAGGGGGTGAGCCCCATGCTGCCAGACCCTGCCAGGACTGTGGGTCTGGAGCTGGGAGGCTGCCAGGTCCTGCTCACCTTCTCCTGATGGCAGAGTCCAGCACCCAGGGGATGTTGGTGGCACCCAGCACCAGGATCCCATCGCTGCTGTTCCCTACACCTGCACAGGAATGCAGTACAGATCGCTCAGTGTGATCCCCAAGGAAAGACATGTGTGATACAGGCATCTGGCAGTTTTCCTGTGCCTGCCTGTCCATCCCGCTCCCTCCTTTCCCTGTTTTCTCCCCACACACACCCTGCATCTGCACCAGGAATTCTGTCTTGATGCGCCGGGCCGCCTCACTCTCATTCTCATTGCGCGAGCCGCACAGTGAGTCCACCTCATCAATGAAGATGATGGAGGGCTTGTGCTGCCTTGCCAGCTCAAAGAGATTCTTCACCAGCCTGGGAACAAAGAAAGCAAGGGATGGGGTTCCCCACCAGGAACCCTGCACAGCACCAAAGACACCCAGCGCCTGTGACAGCCGCAGGTCAGGAGCCCCAAACTCCTCCAGCCCACCCTGGGAAGCCCGTGCTGACAACGAGGCAAGCACCATGCTGGAAGAAGGTCCATCATCCCCTGTGGAGCTCTGTGAGTGCCCACGCTCTGCCATGGGACCCACTGTCTGCATTAACAGGGCCCCAGCCAAGCTCTGGTGGGGAGGCCGGGAGCCAGCCTGCAGCAGCCACACCTCCTTGCTGCCAGCTTACTTCTCACTCTCTCCCAGCCACTTTGACATCAGGTCAGAGGACGACACAGAGAAGAAGGTGGAGTTGTTGGCCTCAGTGGCCACAGCCTTGGCCAAGTAGGACTTGCCAGTGCCAGGGGGGCCGAAGAGCAGGATCCCTCGCCAGGGTGTGCGCTTCCCTGCGACAGAGGCCAGTGTCACAGCTCCCCTGTCCCTGCGCAGGCCAGATCCGTGTGGGCTCACAGGGACACACGTTCCTGTGCTTGGGGTCACATCCCAGCACACGCTTGCCCCACCTGCTGCCCCATGGCACCTCCTCCATGGGCAAGCAGCAGCCGTGGCGCTGCCGTGCCTCTCACCAGTAAACAAGTGTGGGAACTTGATGGGCAGGATCACAGCCTCCTTCAGGGCTTCCTTGGCTCCCTCCAGGCCAGCCACATCACTCCACCGCACGTTAGGCTTATCCATCATGATGGCACCTGTGAGAAGGCAGCTCTGCCCATGCAGCCCCACAGAGACAGGCCAATATGCTCCCAGCATCTACCAAAAGCCGGGAGAGCCGGAGCCCTCATCCCTCCCTAGCACTCTGCTCCACCAAACCCTTCCACTCACACCAACCCCACCACCCCTTGGCACAGAGGCTGGTTCCGGGGTTACCAGACCCCAGCAACACACCCCTGGTCCCCAGTCCCACAGCCTGCCTCCCTCCCCACAGCCACCCCTTGCAGTGGCCCTTCAGGAACCCCTCTGCTGACCCTGCAGCCACCATCAGGACCGTACCCACTGTGCCCAGAACAGCTCCTCACCCATCAGCTGCTCCTGCAGCATTTTCTTCTCCGGGTTCTCACCCTCGCTGTCACTGTCACTCCTGGGGAGAGGGGACATGGGGTCAGGAGCGGGACTGGCCCCAGTGTGGTCGGTTGGGGGGGGGGGGCCCAGCACCTCCACACACCCCTTGGTGTCATTCTGGGCCTCCTTGACCGGCTTCTTGCCGTGCTTGTCCTTGCTCCGCAGGTAGTCCTTCAGCTTCTCCGCCCGGTCCAGGTACTGCACGCACTTGGCTCGGATGCTCTCCTTCGCCTTGTCGCTGTGAGCCTCATCTGGAGAGACCCACAGCCGTCACCCGCGGCCCCGCTCCCGCGCCCCGGCCCCCCGGAGCCGCCGCCCTCACATTTGATGGCGTGCAGGAAGTACTCCACGGCGTGCTGGTACAGCCGCAGCGCCTCCTCGTAGTTCTTGGCCTTGTCCTCCTCCGTGGCTTTGGTGACCAGGTCGATGGCTTTCTGCCGGGGACGTGCGCAGCGCGGTGAGCCGGGCACCGGGCACGCACCGGCTCCTTCCCACCACCGGCGGACCGGCCCTGCTCGCGGCCCACAGCGGCCGGTGGGACAGGAGCCTCCTTCCTCCGCCCCCCCCGCCGCCACCACCACCACGGGCAGGATGAGGCCGCCCCGGTGGGGCCCGGCACCGAGCGCGGAGCGAGGCCTTCCCCCGCCGGCTGCGCACCGGCACCGGGGCGGGGCGAGGGCCTCCCCCCCGGAGCGGGCGGAGGAGCCGCTCCCCGGCCGGCGGGGCCCGGTCCTTGCCCCGGCAGCCCCCGTACCTGCAGGGTGGACGTTGTCATCTCATCGCCCGGGGTCGCCGCTGCTGGCGCGGCCCGGCCCGGCGGCGGCGGAGCTGGGCCCGGGGGGGACCGCCCGCGACTGCGGCTCTGCGCGACAGCGCCCCCTGCCGGCGCACCTCCAGCGCGGGAGGGGCGGGGCCTCGCCCCCTCCGCGTTAAACCACGCCCCCCCCCCGCTCCCTGCCCGGCCCGGGGGCCGCGCACGCGCACTCAGACCCCAGGCTCGCACTCGAGCGGGGAGCCCCAAGCGCCCGGGTCCGACCTGGCCTTCAGCGCCCTCACAGGGGAGAGCTTCTGCCTTGTATCCAACCTGAACTTCCCCTGTCTCAGTTGGAACCCATCACCCCTTGTCCCGTCACTGCAGTCCCTAATGAAGAGTCCCTCTCCAGCATCCCTATAGGCCCCCTTCAGCTGCCCTGAGGTCTCCACGCAATCTTCTCTTCTCCAGGCTGAACAGCCCCAACTTTCTCAGCCTGTCTTCATACAGGAGGTGCTCCAGTCCCTGAGCATCCTCGTGGCCTCCTCTGGACTTGTTCCAACAGTTCCATGTCCTTTTTATGCTGAGGACACCAGAACTGCACACAATGCTCCAGGTGAGGTCTCACAAGAGCAGAGCAGAGGGGCAGGATCACCTCCTTTGACCTGCTGGTCACACTCCTTTTGATGCAGCCCAGGATACGGTTGCTTTCTGGGCTGCAAGCGCACACTGAAGCCGGCTCATGTTCATTTTCTCATCAACCAACACCCCCAAGTCCTTCTCCTTGGGCTGCTCTGAATCTCTTCTCTGCCCAACCTGTAGCTGTGCCTGGGATTGCTCCGACCCAGGTGTAGGACCTTGCACTTGGCATGGTTAAACTCCATGAGGTTGGCATCAGCCCACCTCACAAGCATGTTCAGGTCACTCTGAATCCCATCTCTTCCCTTCAGCATGTTGACCACAACACATGGATGCACAAACGCACACGTGTGCACCCCGGGCATGTGCTTGCACCTACAGACAGCCCAACACGGATACACATCCCCCCCTTTTCACCCACCCATGTATGTGTGCACAATCCTACAGCTGTGTGTCCCTGCGCCCACCGATGACCCTCATGGCTCTGCTACCCCAGGCACCCAAACTACAACACTCCAGGGTCCCCCTAGCATCCCCTTGTCCAGTCCCTCCCAGTCTCTCCCACACTGGGTAGCCCAGCACTGTTCACCCCACCACCACCATGTGCTGTACCGTCAATTCACCCCCAGCACGGACACACGCATCACTGTGACCTCCTCTGTGACACCCACAGCCCCTCCAGAATGAGACCCAGACACCCCATCAAAGGCAATCTGATATAAATAGCGATTTACAAAGAATACAAAAATAGAAGGGGCGTGCGGGGCCTGTAGTGCTTGTGTGGGAGCTGCAGCCCCAGTGGGGGCTGGCACCCCCCAGGATCCCCCTGCACCCCACAGCCCCAGCTAGCACAGCCCCATAGAAAGCAGAAAGTGAGCAGAGGAGTTTGGCTGAGGAGCAACAGGGCCTCAGCTAGGAGCAGGGAGCCCTGGGGGGGGGGGGGGGGGGGGTGTCCCATGGCACGGAGTTGCCCCCCCCCCCCCCAGAGGGAGAGAAAGTACAAAAGCGAAAGTGCATCAATCTACATGTACTGCCCCAATCCCCAGGGCCTGCGAGCCCCCGAGCCGTGGGGGGCCAGATCCCCAGCAGCTCCCGGGCAAGGGGCCAGGCTGCAGGGTTGGGGGTGCCATTGGGGGGGGTCCTGGCAGCCCCAGCCCTGCAGGAAGCAGAGACACAGCATTGTTTTCTGGCTTTGGGAGGTTTTAGGGGGATCACTGCTGCACTCTGCAGCAGCACTGAGAGCAGCAGCAGGGTGCAGGGGGTCCCCTCTTGTACCCATGAATGCCCCAAGTAAGATAAGTATGTGTCCCCCACCCTGACTGGGGCAGAGGGACCCTATGCTGCAGCAATGGGGGCATCACGGAGCCCCAGACCCGTCCCAATTGGGGACAATGTGACCCCCTTTGGAGGGGAGCCCCAAGGCAGGAGGGGTGCTGGAGGAAGCACTGGGGTGCTCCAAGGCACAGTTGGTGAGATGAGTGATGGGTTTAGGCCCGGGGGGAGTTAAAGCTGTTGTCTGTGCCCTGTCCTTCCCCCCAGAACCGGGGGGGCTGGGATTGCCAGGGCAGAGCAGGAGAGGCTCAGACCCCCCCCAGCCCAGAGCAGCCATCCTGCCACTGCCCCGGCAGCTCCTGGGGCAGCGAGTCCCAGCCCCGGAAAGGCACTGGTAGGACAGGAGGTTGGGGGGGGCCCTCCCCTTTCCCCCTGGTCTGTGATGGGGAAAGGCGGGGGGGGGCATGTGGGACCACCTATGCCAGCAGCCCCATGCGGGTGACTTTGGCTGAGAGGAAGGTGTGCAGGACGAAGACGATGGGCTTGGGGCAGGAGTGCAGGTCCAGCGCCTGGGGGGGAGATGGGAGAGCGGAGTCAGCCCCCCCACCATGTTGCCAAACCCCATGGGGGGCACTAGGATCTCACACCCAAGGCTGGGAGCTCCCAGCCAGTGGTACCCAACGGGTCCAGGCAGCCATGGTGATGCTGCAGGGATCAACGACTCCCAGAATGGTTTGGGTTGGAAGGAACCCTAAAGCTCCTCCAGCTCCAACCCCTGCCACGGGCAGGGACCCCTTCCACTGGTGCAGCTTGCTCCAAGCCCCTGTGTCCAACCTTGGCCTTGAACACTGCCAGGGATGGGGCAGCCACAGCTCCATCTGTGTTAGCGCCTCACCACCCTCACAGTGAATGACAAAGGGAAGCCCACCCAGAGCCAGGGCCGAACCCGGCTGCCCCTTTCCTCACCAGCTCCCCCTCGGGGCCCCCGAAGTCAAGGTACAGGGTCCTGATGCCATCATCTGCCGACATCTTCAGCCTCTCGTAGGGGTAGCGGAAGAGGATGCTGCCACCCGGCTCCTCGCGGCAGATGGTGAAGCCACACTCGTAGTGGATGCAGAGCAGCACCTCCTGCCCACCCAGGGTGCAGCCTGCGGGCACAGGCAGGGCTTAACCCACTGCCTGCACTGCTGCTGCTGCTGCTGCACCCCGGGTGCAGGTCCCTGCCAGGACAGCCGGGTTCTGCTGCAGGGAAGGGGGGATCCCGGGAGTGTCCCCTCCCCACAGCACTCACCCACGGTCACCTCCTTGATCAGCTCAGCAGCAGCATGGCAGCCCTGGACCAGGATGCGTGTCCAGGAGGAGAGGTCCCGGTGGGTCTCCACGCGGAACACGTGCATCTCCACACCCTGCCGAGAGCCCGTCCGGGTGGCAAAGGTGAGCTCCGAGCCCAGGGCGGGCGAGCGGAGGCCCGAGCCTGAATGCACCAGCCTGGGGTGGGGGGAACACACAGGTGGGGTAGTCAGGGGCACGATGGCAGCATCAGGAGGATGCTGCACCATGCCCACCAGTGTTTCAGTGTCTGTCTTCTGCTCCAGCAAGAAGCAGAGCCAAGGAACTGGGCCCAGAGGATGAGGATGGATGGATTGAGCCCTGCCAGCCCACCTGGTAGCCACCAGCGGGTAACTGTGGCAAGGGGATGCCCAGGCATCCCTGGTCCAGGGCATGCCGTCGTACAGCAGCAGGTCCTTCTCTGTCACTGCCATGAGGACAGGTCGCCACTGCTGCCGCCCTCCGTCCAGGCGTGCCTGCAAGAGACACGAGGGCACGGTGAGGAGCACGGGAGGGCCACTGCAGCTATGACCAGGCTAGCCCCGATGCAGCGGCTCCACACTGCAGGGCTCTCAGTAGTGTCCATGTGCAGGGTGCCACCGACCCCACAAAACCAAGCTGGGAGCAGCCCTTAGGGGACTCCACTGCTGGGGCTGACCTCACTGTGGTACCCACCCGGGCAGGCTGTGGCTCTCAGGCAGTGAACTCATGGAAAAGCAAGAGGGTGATGGACATCTATAGCCAGGAAATCCCAGTAGGAGAAGGTGCTGAGGGCATGGGAAGCACTGCCTTTGCAGCGTGTCGTAGGTTCAGCTGTAACAGCTGTATTTGTCCTTCTAGTATCTGGTGCAGTGCTGTGTTTGGGCTTTAGTCTGAGAACAATGCTGGTGACACACTGATGGTTTAGTCTTGCTCAGTAGCACTTAACCCTGATCAAGGACTTTTCAGTCTCATGCTCTGCCAGTGAGGAGGAGCATGAGAAGCTGCGTAAGAGCAGAGACAGGACACCTGACCCACGCTAGCCAAGGGGGTATTCCATACCACAGCACATCATGCCCAGTATAGAAACTGGGGGGAATCACCTGCAAGGCCCAGATCACTGCTTGGGTTGGGCTGGGTATCAGTCAGCAGGTGGTGAGCAATTGTACTGGGCATCACTTGTGTTCATTGGGGTTTTCTTCCCTTCCCTTTTTAGTTTTATATTCTCTCCCCTTGTTACTTCCCTTAGCAGTAGTAGTAGTTTTATATATCCTTTAGTTACTGGACTGTTCTTATCTCAGCCATGGGGTTTACATTCTTTTGATTCTCCTCCCCATCCCACCCAGATGGAAAGGACAAAAGGGGGGAGCGAGAGGCTGCATGGTTCTGAGTTACCAGTTGGGCTTAATCCACAACACCGCGGTGCAGCCACAACAGCAGAGCCGGGTGTCCAGGCTGGTGATGGAGCTTTCCATCAGCCATGTAGCTGCACCCACAGCGCCGCTGCTGTCACTGCTGTCCCCACAGCAGCAGCTTCAGCACAGCCCTGGCACGCGTACCTGCTCAGCCAGCCAGGCGATGTGCTTCACCTCCCTGCCACCGGCCACGGCGCCGCCGGTGCCCAGCATGGCGTTGAGCTCAGCCAGCACCTGCGGGAGCAGGGCAGTGATGTTGGCGTGCAGCGCCGTGAACCAGGAGTGCGCCGTCGCTGTGTCCTTGCAGCGCAGGATCAGGGTGTTCCGGCTGTCCGGGGAGTGCAGCTCGATCAGCCTGAGAGGGGATGGGAACGGGGGCACCCAGATGAACCTGTGCCCAGCCCAGCAAACTGCCCACACTGGTCTGGGGCTCTGGCTGTGCCGGGGAGGCTGGTGCCAGCCCTGACAGCAGGCAGAGCTGGGGGGATTTGCAGGGACCCCTTTTCCATAGGCAGGAGAGGCTGCCAGCCACCCCATAGGGTCAGGGAGTGCACAGCATAGCCCTGGCCAAACCACCCAACTTCCCTGTCAGAGTTCAGCAGCGGAAGCAGGGGGTCGTGGGCAGCACCCAGCCCTGTCCTGGGGGAGTCCATGGGGAGTGGATCCCCCCACCAGCAACCACTGGACTCGGGGGGGGGACGGGACGGGACGGGCAGTCCCTCACCTGTTCTCCAGGTCAGGCATGCTGAGGTTCCTAGCAGCGAAACACATCTTCAAGGGGATCACCTTGCGGTCACGGGGGCCCTGGTGCTGCGGGGAGCCCGAGTCCTCGCTGCCGCTCAGGCTGGGTGACTGCGGGGCAGCCCCCTCCCAGGGCAAGTCCGACACCAGCGAGGGCTTCTTGATGTAGGGGGTCACCTCCCGCATGAACTTCACTATGGGGGAAAAGGGGAAAGGACAGGTTAGGGCTGGGCAGGGACCCTGCACCCCTACACTCGAGCCCTGCACGACGAAGATGCTCTGATCATGGGGTGTCTTGTCCCCACAGCACACAGAGGGTCTCGGGCAGACTCCCCAGCAGCCCCAGCACAGCCCACGTGCCAGGGAGCTGAACTTCGCTCCCTGCTCATGCTACAGGCAGCAGGAAAGGGGCACCCCCCTTCCCACCCGGGGGTGCAGCACGGCTGGAGAGGCCTGGACATGGGGCCATGGCCTGGAGGGTTCCACCCTGCCCGGAGATGGAGATATCCCAAGTGAAGGACAGGCGGTGGCGGCTCATCCCTGCTGCCGTCGCGGGTGTAGGAAAGGGAAGGCGGCGCAGCACAATGGGGCCGGGCAGGAGGTCAGGCTGCAGCCCATCCTGGCTGCCGCGTTGCAAGAACAGCACTGGCCAAGTTTCCAGCGCCGCAAGCGCTGACGGCGAGCTGACCCCATGCTGCTGCTTGTGCCTGCCAGCAACCTGCCGGCAGCCTGCCTCCGCTCCCGGCGGGATGGAGACGAGGAGAAGCGTTTGCAGCCAGGACATCCCGGCTCCACGCTCCTCTCCAGGCTGGGCAGGAAGGAAAGAGGCACCGACTCCTATTCCCCCCAGACCATCCCTCCGTGTGCACCACCCAGCCGGGATGAAGCAGAGCCCCAGAGAGGCGCGGGCACCCTGGAGCCCATCCCAGCTGTGATGGGGCAAGCGGTGGCCTGGCTCACCCCGCACACGGTGCCACCACGGGTTCCCCCTGTGCCAAGGCTGCAGCAGCTGCCGCGCCAAGGGAAAGCCAACGCCTCCAAGATGTCAGGGAGCGTCAGTGGAGCCGCTGCCAGGGCCGGGATGAGGCAGGAAAGCTGCGAGGAGTGCTGACGGCAGCCTGGGACAAGGCGATCGCAGCTGGGGCTGGACCCTCGCCCGCCGCGCTACCCCCCGGCACGCATGGCGTGAGAGAGCAGCGTGCCCGTGCCAAGCCCCACAGCCCCTCGACAGTGGAGGAACGTGCCGGGAACGGCAACGCTCACACACCCCAGGGCAGCGGGGAGTTAAACAACAGAAAAAGGCAAATAAGCCGTAATCCGCCATGAAGTGAAACTCCCTGTTGCAGAGCCAGGACAACCGACGCCTTGCCAGGGAGGGGAACAGAGGCAGCCATGGGGCCCCGGTCCTGCTTTCGGCCACAAGAACCACTGCCGGACCCCCGGGTCCATGGGCATGATACAGCCCATGGCTCACCCGCTGCGTCCCCCACCACAGGGGCTCTCAGCCCCCCACAGCCGCCTGCTTGATTTGCTGAGGGAGCAGCACAGCAGGGCGGGACGTGCTGCCATGAGACGCTTGTCCTTGCTGCGGGCAGCAAATGAGTTAATATTAGCCTCCCGCCGCACTGATCCCGGGATTACCGCCGTCCCCGCGCACCCCTAATCCTGCTGCCTGGCTGGGCAGGGCAGGGACGCGCCGCGGGGCAGGTCCTGCCATGGGGCTTTCTGCCAGATGTGGACAGCTGCGTTCAGCACCAGACGGGAGCCTGGCACCCTGCAGCCACCCCCCTCCAGAGCGTTGTGCCAAGACTCTGCCGTGCCAGTGTCCACCGGGGCACGGCCACCAGCTCACCACAGGCCAGGACGATGGCATCTGCAGCCACCTCTTCTGCTCCTGGTGAGGCAGTGTCCGGAGCACAGCCACCCCCTGACACAGCCTGTGCTGCCCCACCTACACCTCACCACAAAGGAAACCCGGTCGCTGCCGGCACCCTTCGCCCAACCTGCTGCAGGAAGCTGCTCTGGCTGCACAGCAATGCCGGGTTAGCACCAGCCTCAACGGGGCTGAGCCCCCGTGCACTGCCTGGACAGCTCCAGTTGGTGCTCAGGGCTGGAGCCCCCTCCTGCCACCGGTGCCTCACCCAGAGGGGAGACACCAGAGAGGTTTCTCCACCTTTGCACATGGGTCAGCTCTGCAATGGGCTTTCCCCTTTGCCTGCCCAGTGTGCGCCTGCCGGCCACAGCTCTGCCCGCAGCTCCCAGCACAGGCGGAAGGGCTCCCTGCCCCCAGCACGCCGCAGCATGCCAGAGCACGCCGTGTGCCTGTGGGCACCCCGAGACGACAGCGCCAGATGCTGGTCCCTGCAGACAAACCCAGTGCCCAGGGCAGGAGCTGCCGGCCCAGGTGAAGCCTGGCACCGTCCAGGACCCTGCCAGGGCTGTCACAGCTCCAGGGGTTGGTGAGGAGGGAGGGACGTGGTGGGACGGCACAGCCAAGGTCTCCCCCATGTCCTCTCCGTGGCCTGCAGGTGCCAGCCGGTGCTGGACAGTGCTGCCAGGCCCTGGGCCAGCTGCAGCCGTTGGATGAGCCGCCGCAGCAGGAAGGGAAGGGGCGGCTGCTGTGGCGCCTGTGCCTGCGGCGGAAGCAAAGGATAAACATGGCACGGGGCTGGAGCTCTTGTGGGACAGGATCAAACAGACAGGGAAAGGATGCAGTGGGGAGGTGGTGGATGGGGCACGGTGTCCTGCGAGGACTCTCTTGCTGCTGTTGACAGCGGCCCTGAACCGGTGGGTGTTTAAACACCGAGCCCAACGACACAGCTCCACCATGGTCCTTACAGCTGCCCAGCCTTGCCCGAGGCACAGAGAGCTGCCCCGTGCCAAGGAGCCCACCTGCTTGCCCTCGTGCTGAAAGCATCCATCACGAGCATCAGCCCAGCACAGCCCAGCCTGGTACAGGTGACCAATTCCAGCACCCAATGGGCATTGTGTCCGCAGAGCAGCTCCACGCACCAGAGAACAGGATGCCGTGTGCGGCACCATGGACCTGCTTGGGACACTCTGACCCACACAACACAAAGGGCTTGTGTCCTGCCAGCTGCCTGGGGCACAGCACCCCACAGCACAAGCCCTGTGTGCCGCGCACCAACAGGGCAGGCGGGTCCTGCCTGAGCTTGTTGGGCTGCCGGGAACAGGTCGGGCAGGAGCTGGTGGCTCCATAAGGCCAGCCCCAAACTGGCTGTACGGTGGGTCCAGAGCCCCCAGGGTAACGGGCAGACCCTAACACCCTGGACAGAGCCCTCCCAGGGCTTCAGGAAGAACAAGTGCCCACCGTGGAGGTTCTGTCTTTGAAGGCTGGGGACACTATCCATGGGGGGCCACTGCAGCCAGGGGGCTCCAGTTCTGCACCGGGCAACCCCAGCTCTTCCCATGGGGACCTCAGCTCTGCCGTCGTGGGGGACATGGTCAGTAGGAGTTGCCCACCCTTGTTGCCAGCTGGGAGGGGTTCCCATCCCACCACGAGCAGGAGCACCCCTCCCAGGGGAGAGGACGCATTGTCCTCGTCCCCGTGCCAGGCAGGGGCACAGCGGGACCCAGCACCAGGGTTGGGAGTTTTGGGGGGACACACATGTACAGTGGGAAGGGTGGGAGAACAGGGAGAGTGGGGTCCCCCAACCGGAAAAAGGGCCCAAGGGGGGGTCCAGGAGCCCAGTGACAGCAGGCAGGGAAGTGTCGTGAGACCTGGTAGTGGGGCTGGGGGGCACCCGGGAGAGGAGGGGTCCAGTATGGGGAACGCGGACGGGGCTGGTTTAGTCAGTACCTTCGAGGATGACTTCCCTCCCGGCACGCTTCAGCGCCTGGACGGCTTGATCGTGAGTAGCATCCCGTAGATCGACGCCGTTAACGGCGAGGATAGCGTCGCCGAGACGGAGCGCCCCGCTCCGTTCCGCCGCCAACCCCGGGAAGATACGTGAGATGAGCACCGGCATACGATTCTCCCGACCTCCCTTGATGCTGATACCGAGCCCTCCCGCCTCCGCCTTCACCACCCGCACCCTCCGCACGCAACCGGGCGCTGCCTCCGGGTTTCCGTTAACCACGCCGTTAACCACCGCCGCTTCGCAGCTTCCCGGTTCCGCCGTTAAGCTCAATGCCTCTCCGCTCAGCTCCGCCGCTACCCGCACCCAACGTTCCCGTAACAGCAGCTCCAACAGCCCCGCTTTGCAAGCGCGGGTCCACACGGCCATGCCGCCGGTGATGCCGCCACCGCCGCCGCCGCCGCGCACCGGGAAAGGGGGCGGGGTTTACCGAGGGGGCGTGGGCATGTAAACGCGCCCCTCGCCCGCATGGCGCGCTGCTATAGGCTACACGCCGCGGGAGAGGCGGGGCTAAGAGGCCCCTCCCCTCTCTCCGGTGAGACCAATCGCAGCAGAGGCGGCTCTCACTGCCTCTGCTGCGATTGGTGGCGCCGAAGGGAGGGGGAGTGAAGCTCCGCCCCGCGGGCGATTTCGCGCCCCCGCGCTTTACTTCCAGCCCCGCTCTCCATTTCCCGGGTTCCGGTTAAAGCCTCGCGCCCCTGCCCGCCCGGTTTACGGCCAAGAGCACCCCGGCTTTTGTCAGCAGCGATGTGGCAGCAGGAGCAGGGCAACGACCGCCCCCTGCGCTGGGCACTGGTGAATCCCGTGTTCAGTTCTGGGCCCCTCGCTGCTGGTGTGGGTCCGGAGAAGGGCAATGGTGCAGGGCCTGGAGCACAAGTGTGATGGGGAACGGCTGAGGGACCTGGGGGGTTCAGTGTGGAGAAGGCTCAGGGGGACTTAAAACACTCTCTACAACTTCCTGAAAGGAAGCTGGAGGAGTTGGTTGGTCTCTCCTTCCAAGTAACAAGGGATAGGACAAGAGGAAACGGCCTCAAACTGTGCCAGGGGAGGTTTAGACTGGAGATTAGGAATAATCTGTTCCCCAGAAGGGTGGTAAGGCATGGGAACAGATTGCCCAGGACACTTGTGGAGACAAGGTGATCAATGATACAGGTTAGTGGTGGCCTTGGCAGTACCGGAGTAAAGGCTGGACTTGATGTTCTTAGGGGTCTCTCCCAACCTGTTTGATTCTATGATTTCTAAGGGAACTGATCTACCAGTTACTCCTAGATACTTGATTTCCCCTCCCTCATTAGGGGATGGGTGTCCATACACCCACCAAACTACTCAGCTGCTGGCCTGCATGGGAACCCAGGACACAATGCTGTGACAAGGTGAGAGATCAGGAGTGCTGCCTTGTCCTTGGGAGGATCACCAGCATGGGAACACCATGAGCAGGCTGCACCCTTATGGTCAGGCCAGCACCTACCTGAGCCATTCCTGGAACACCAGAGTAGCCCCACAGGGCAAAGACGAGCCCACAGGCATACAGCACAGTGGGGTTTATTTTGTACAGCGCTCTAGGAAAACAACATACACAGTTTCCATGGGGCCAGAGCGGCTTGTTCTGCTCTCAGGTGCCAAATTTCTTCTGTTGGGTGGGCAGCGGTAGCTGGGTCTTGATGTCCATAATGGGCCTCTCCACCATCACAAGGCACTTCTCGTCCAGTAGATCTGCGAAGAGCAGGGGCTGGGGGGCACAGAAGGGGCAGGAGATGAGAGCCAGGTCCCGTCTGCCTTGGCTTGCTGGGCTCAGCCACACAGAGCCAGCACTGACTGGGGATCTGTGCCCACGAGATCACAGCAAGTGGCTGTGCTGAGACAGAGAGCTGCTCTGCTGCTCGGTGCTGGCACACCACTGGAAGCAACTGGGCACGAGTACAGGGAGGATCACAGTGACCACAGGCGCAGGGCAACCCCCTCCTTGACACAGCACACACCCAGTAACACCATTACCTACCTGGAATTTCTTGCATATCTTAAAGGCGTGGAGCTGCTGCTGCCTGGCGCTCTCTGGGAGCTGCTTCAGGATGTACTGGTTCATCAGAAGGGCACTGTTGTCTGGCAGGGGCTGTGAAGAGTGCACAGCATGTGTCAGCACTGCCCGGCTCACCAGTGCCATGCACTGCACCCAGCAGGGACAGGTATCAATGGCCAAGGGATGTCTGTGACCTGGGAACAAACCCAGCCCTCCTGCCCGGGCACACAGGCTCACCAGGGACTTGTCGATGATGCAAAACATGTAGACATCGTGGAGCAGGATGTGTGAGGGGTTCTTGGGGTTGAAGGTGATGTGGGTGATGGGCGAGTCCCTCTCCAGCCAGACCTTGTGCAGCCCGCTCTTCTGCACTGTGCGGCTCCAGTCCGTGTACTGCTTCTCAGGAATGCTGAACTCGAACAACTGGAGAAGCAGGAGAGGGGAGATGGGGTGGCTCATGAGGCCTGGTTCTCTCTGGCTTACCCCTCATGCTGGTGCATGGCAGCCCTAGCTCCAGCCAGGTTGTGAGCCAGACACTGAGTCCCTGCTCCTGCCTGGAGCTGCAGCTTTCTCATGGGACCAGAAAGCTTCAAGGCCAGGGGGAGAAACAGGGAAGGGACTGAGGCCATGAGGTCTGGGACTGGTACAGCTCCTACCTGCTGGTCCGAGTAGGCAATAACAAGGTTGTTGGTGACAGGGTGGATGGCGAGAGCTGTCACTGCGCAGCTGTACATGGGCACCGTGCAGTGATGCTGCAAGGCAGGAGGACAGCATGCAGACAGGAACACCCAAGGCTACCTCCAACCCCCCTTCACACACACACACCCCCCAGCCCTGCTCCATGGATAAAGCCATCCCCCTTTTGGGGAGGGGATCTACACACGAAGCCCACCATCACCCAGATCCCCACAGCAGGAGGCAGCGGGCCCGTTACTGCAGCCACTCTCCAGTTCCTGCTCCTACCTTTAAGCGTTTCAGCTTGTAGATGTGGATTGCCCAATCCCCACTGACTGCAGCCACCCAGCGCCCATCTGCGCTCAGTGCCAGCAGGTAAACAGCCTCAGGGGATCCTGTGGAAACACCATCACCAGGTGTAATGGGTGCTTGAGCCTGCAAAGAGCCCCAGACCTACCACCACGGGACATCCAGACCCATGTCTTCCCCCTGCTGATCTGCACCCTGCTTCCTACCTACAGAGCAGCACAAAGGGCAGAGGGGGAAGGATGCATACACCATGGAGCAGGAAAAGGGGGATGCCCTCAGCCCTGCAAGGGAGGGACACAGCAGCCCAGGGACCCCCAGCACCTTCCAATCCCACCAGTTCCCCCCAGCCCAAACCTGATGGTGGCTGAAGCGTGTGCAGGTGTCTGCAGCCCCCCGGCTCTAGGAGCAGGACAACGTGGACAGAACCTCGAGCGGAGGCAATGAAGAGGCTGCTGGAGTCAGAGGAGAACTGGAGCTGGTAGGCTGGGAGCAGCAGCTTTGACACTTTGGGGATCTTGAGATAGGAAGAAAGCAGCACTGGCAGCCACGTACCACTGCCACCCTCATCCCTGTGATAACACTGACCATGCCCCGGCCCCCCAGCCACCCACCACCCGTCCCTGCAGCAGGGCAGCCCATCACCCTCCTCACCTTTTCAATTCGGACACCGTCATCTTCATAGTGCACCCGGTAGAGGTGGAAGCGGGAGGCAGTGGCATAGGTGACCCAACTGCCACAGGGCGAGATGCAGCTGCAGTAGATGTGCTCCGGGCCCTGGAAGTGCAGAGGGGCCAAACAGGGTTTGTGAGTTCCCCGCAGCCAGGAAAATGGGGTCAGCTGTCAGAGGGAGAGCAGCAGGGTGGCCACAGAGGACCCCAAGCCCCAGCTCAGCCCTACCTTGCTCTTGAGTTGCACGAGGTGCTCAGGCATGCTGCTCAGGGGAAGGACGTCACCATCCTTTCCTGGGTCAATAAGAAACCACACGGTACATCAGTGATGGTAGCAAAACCACACGGGTCTCCATCTCCAGGCTCCCAACCCACAGGACCCAAATTGTGGGGAAACCACAGCTGGGGATCATGGAGAGCAGCACCAAGGGAAAACCCAGACCCTCCCCCAGCCTTCCCTGAGGCTGAACCCCCCAGGGCCTGGCCCAGCTCCACTGGAAGCACAAGAAAGCCCTGGCATATGCCACGCTGGGAATCTGGGAATCACAGCCTTGCCCGGGGCCATCACCAGTGCAGGGCCATGTGAAGGAAGGGACCTGAACTAAGCCACTCCTCTGCTGCCCAAGCAACAGGACAGCTTGTGCCTGAAACCCAGCACAGGCTCTGCCACAGGGCTGGCACTGGAGAGCTGGGCCTTGCCACTCACCTGTCCCATTGGTGGAGCCAAGCCTCCAGAGCTCCAGGTGCTGGGAGAACTGGAAGAGGAGCAGCCGGGCTTCCCTGGCACAGGAGACAAGGCGTCGCTGCGTGCAGAACAGACCGTCATAAACCCGCAGCCTGGCATGAAGGGCTGGGCCAAAGCTGAAATGCCCTGAGGTGCCACAGACTCCGGGGTGGGGGAGAGGAAGGACTTGGGTCCCACGGAATGGGAGACTGGAGATGGAAAGCTAGCAGGACCAGCAAGACGAGCTTGCCAGCTTCTACACCCTCCGTGGCAGGAGCCTCCAGATGCGCCAGGGCCAGGGAGGGGACCCAGGAGGGCAGGGAGGACCAACCTTCTCCCACAGGAAGAGCCAGCCCTGCCAGCCTGCCTTGGCTCAGAGCAGCACTCACGTGGGGAAAGGTGAATTTGCGGAGCGCTGCCTCGTAGCCTTTGTCCTGCATCTTCTCCATCAGCGGGCGGATCACCAGCTGGGCGTCCAGCCCTGGAAGCCAAGCACAGGTCAGCCAAAATATGTCTGGGGGCAGGGATACCCAAGCCCTCCTGGTTACCGCAGCCTGTCCTACCCCCAGAGATGAGAGCTGTCGAGCTGTGCGCCACAGCTCGCACGTCATGGGTGTGATAGTGGAATGGCTTTGTCCGTATCCAGCGCTTCTCCTGACTGCTCAGCTTCACCGGCAGCAGCTGGAACTGGTACGTGGCGCCGGCTGAGGTGCCCACAATGATGCTGTCTTCTTTCTGGTGAGAAAAACAAGGAAAGGGTTTATGGGTGCAGACTGGAAAGAAGGAAAAGGCATCACTGGGAGGCAGACAGGGACCAGCAACCTCGCTCCCAGCCCCAAGGCACCGAGCCAGGGAGCTCCTGCCCCAGCACACCGAAGCCTGGGAATGATACAGGAGACTTGCCTACCTCCGACACAGCCAGTGAGAGGATGGCCGAGTTGCTGACAGTGTGAGAGTCCAGCAGTGTCCCTTGCTCCCAGTCCCAGAACTGCACCCTCCCAAAGGAGTCTGAGGTGACAACAGTGCCACTGGAGAGGAAGGCGATGCTCCACACGATGCACTCCTGCTTCACCTTCTGTACGTGGTAATTCACCATGATCCTTTGCACAGTTTGGCCTGAGATAGGGGAAGGATGGTTTGGGATGACAACGGGTTCCCCCCCAGTGCTCAGCCAGTGCTGACAGACCCAGGGGCCAGGCCAGGCTCAGCTCCCAGGGCACAAGTTACCTGAACAGACATCAAGCACGCGGACACTGTCGATGGAGCCAGCTGCTATGTGAGTGCCCAATGGGTGCCAGGAGAGGCACAGGATGCGGCCTGTGGGGAAGGAAGCTCCAGATGTGGCCCTGTGGGCTCGCAGCCCCTTGGTCATCACCAGGATGGACAGGAAGGGCAGAGTAAAGATGCACTGAGGTACTGGGCGCTCCCGGACTCACCTTTCCTCCTGTCCAGATTCTGCTCAAACTGGATCCCACCCGGTACAACTTGGAATAACCTAACGGAGCCATCATCGCAGCCGATCTGCAGGAGGGTTGGGATCAGCCCCAGCGGGATGGGCGGACCCAAATCCTCATCCCCTGCCTCCTCGATCGCAGCCCCAGCCCCGCTTCACTCACCGCCAGCTGCGTGCCGCTGCTGTTGACCGCCATGCTCCAGATGGGGCCCCCGCAGCCATCCACGGAGCAAGCCACGCACAGCCCGGCCAGGTCGTACTCGGTGATCTCTCCGCTGAGCCCGGCCCCGAAGAGCCGGTCCCCCGCCCAGCACAGCGCTTCCACCGAGCGCACCTCATGCCCGGGGATCACCTGAGGACGCACACCCGTTACCCGCTGCTCTCCCCCCGCCGCTGCGGCCCGGCCCGGCCCGGCCCCGCGCCCTCACCTTCTCCTGGAAGTAGTTGGCGGCGAAGTTGTAAACCTCGACGGTGCCGTCGGTGCGCGCCAGGCCCAGGCGGTCGCTGCGGGGCTGCCAGGCGAGGCAGCGCACCCCCGCGGGCACCAGCCCGAAGAACCGCACCCGGTGCACCTCGAACTCCCCCATCGCGCTCTCCCCCCCCCCCCCCCGCTTACCGAGCCCCACACCGGCACCGGGCCGGGACCGCTCCGCCCCGCGCAACCCCACGTGCGCTCGGCGCACCCGGAAACGGAACTGGGCAGGGAAGAGGAACCGGAAGCAGAGGAGCGGGGCGGCGGGAGATTCGGGCGCTACCGGGCGGCGGGTGCGGGACCGGGCGGGGAGAACCTCGGGGGAAGGGGGGGCGGAACTGCCGGGGGTGGGCGGGGAGCGGCCGGTGGAGGCGGGAGGGGCTCGGGGTGCCCTGGTCTGACCCGGCCCCGCAGCCCCGGGAGCCACTGGAGGGCACCAGCGCCCCGCGGAGCGGCCCGAGGGAACGGGGAGCTCGGTGCGGTGCGTACCGGGGAAGGGCCGGGCCGGGCCGGTGTCGTCGTCCCCCCCCCCCGGCGCTGACCGTGCCCCACCGCAGGGCCCGCAGCATGGTGCAGATCGTCATCTCCAGGTGAGGCCGCCGCCGCCGCCCCGCGGGGTGCGGGTCCTGCCCCGACGGCACCGGGGTGCTGGTGGCGGGTGGAGGGGGGGGGGTGTTGGAGCCGTCGGGTGCAGCCCCCGCGTGTCTCGCCCGCAGCAGCGGCGGCGGGGCCGGGGGCCTGGCGCAGTGGGTGCTGGTGGAGCTGCAGGGCGAGGTGGAGCCCCGGCAGAGCGGCGCGCTGGCGGGCAGCCTCCTCGGAGACCTGCACTACACCCGCGAGGTGAGGCGGCCGCGCGCGTACCGGGGCTCGGGCCCTACCGGGGGACAGGGGCGCTGCTGCTCGCCCTCACCCGCCGCCCCTCGCTGCTCTCCGCAGGGGGTGCCCGTCCTCATCGTGGGCCATCACATCCTCTACGGGAAGGTGGTGCAGCTGGAGAAGCCCTTCGCTGTGCTGGTGAAGCAGGGAGCCGAGGAGCCGGGCCCCGCGGGGCCGGATACGTGTTACACCATCGCTGCCCTCATCAAAACCAAGCTCCTTTTCAAAACCCGCCCCAAACCCATCATCACCAACGTGCCCAAGAAAGCGTGAGGACTTGGGCTGGTGGCTGTGAGCACCAGGGCGATGCAGGGCTGGCATCTCCATCCAGTGTAGAGGACTCCAATGGTCACCTCATGGTGCAGGTCCTGCATCTGGGTGCCCAGAGCCCTTCACAGGTCATTTGTATCCCCTGTAATGACTCAGTTTCTGAGAGCTGCCATGCTCTTGGGCACAAACCCAAGTGCCATCCCAGGTGAGCAGAGACATCCTCTGAGCCCAGGGGCTGCCCTCAGGGCCTGGACTCAGCAGGTCCCAGTGTGCTGCCAGCTCTGCCTGGCCCCCTGCCTGTGGCAGAGAGTGGCAGCAGGGCCCATCTGCTGATGTGTCCCCTCTAAAAGCACCTCTGTACCTATGTGGACATCCGGTGCTGGGCAGGGACTTGAGCCCCAGCTTCCCTTGAGCCAGGGCAGGGGACCAGGACCATCACCCTCCATACACACAGACACACACACACACACACACACCACCATGCCTCGGTGCAAGTCTTTATTTTGACAAATCCATCAGGATATAAAAACAGATTTTTTTCCAAAATATGAAAGAAAAAAAATAATAATCAACCGCGGGTTAAAAAATAAATAGATTTACAAACAATTCGCAGCAAGTCTGAATACCAAAGAGCTACAAAAGTCTCCTAAAAAACCTTGTATTAAATTAAACAAAACCATCTAAAAGCTCAATTGTAGAAAGGTTTTGAAGCCCTGAAAAAAAAGAGGGCCCATGGGAGAGGACCGGGTGAATTCCCCAGGAAGGGGAGAGGTTGGGAACCTGCTCTTCCCCACCCTCCTCTGCATGCCAAAGCCCAAAAACCCAGCGTCTCCCCACTGTCTAGACAAGGTGCCAGGAAGGCAGCAGGGTTGGTATGATGGGGCTGCAGTGACACTCTGGCCAAGCCACAGCCCCCAGTTTCCATGTGCTGGGATCCCCCCTTGGCTCTTTGGCAAAGCTAAAAGGAGGTGCTGCCCTCCTGGGGCAGCCAGACCCCCAAAAGGGGCTGGAGGGAGCCATGAGGGCTCCCCTAGGTACATGCCCACACATACAACAGCCGTGGGGCAGAGGCAGCACCAGCCAGCGGTGCTGGCACACGGTGCCAAGTGGGACCTTTTTGCCATAGCACCGTGGTGGTTGGACCATGAAATCCCCATAGAAAGCACCGAAGGTTGTAGGACACAGGGGTGGGGGAGCCTGGCCAGCAGCGCTCCACATAAACACCAGTATGGCACTGGTGGGGGGACACCTCTGTCACCCCTGCAGCACCAAGGCTGTGCCCAGCATGGTGCCAGGCAGCACCAGCTCGGCCTCTCCCCGTTCAGCAGCCAGCTTTTGTACAGAAAAAAAATCAATATCTATGAAAAAACCCAGAACAATGCTAAAAGAAACAGCAAGACTTGATCAGAAACACAGCAGCGGGTTCGCTCAGCACTGCCCAGCACCAACAGCTCAGCACCCGTTGTGCTGGGCAAGGAGGGACCAGTGACGGTCACTCTGGTGCAGAGCCCCTGTTGCAGTCAGACCTCAGCAAAAGCCAGCCCGCACTGCTCCTGCCGCTTGCCACAGCGCCGGGCAACGATGGCCATGTAGAGGGCAAACAGGCCCACCCAGTAACAGGCATAGAGGATGGCACCTGAGACCAGGAAGGCCACCTCGGTGTCACTGAAGAGGTCCTGGCTGTAGGCAGTGTAGGCCAGCCCGCCCAGCAGCACTGCTACCCACACCGACACGGGCAGCAGCCCCACGAAGTTAACCACGATGGTCCGGCGCCCTGATGTGCCCCAGCCAGACTTCTTGATGGTGGCAATGGCAAATATCTTGGCAGGCAGCAGGCTGGACATGTAGAGGAGGGCATAAAGGGACATGAAGATCATCTCGGCATTGCCCCGCAGGAAGCAGGCGTAGGTGGCTTTGATGATGCCCACCAGCTGCACCGTGAGCAGAAAGAGGAGGATGTTCCAGATGCGGCCACGATAGAAAAGCTGGATGACAGTGGCAATGAGGAAGAAGGGGAAGAAGCCGGTCACCACAGACTCGTAGGTCATCCATAGGTGATGCTTATGGAACCACAGGGCATTGTAAAGCCACTCGCGGAAGTAGGACTTGCTCCAGCGGGTCTGCTGGTTGAGCCAGCGCAGGTAGCGGGTGGGAGTCTCCGTCAGGCACTTGGAGCGAGCCGTGTACTTGGTCTGATAGCCCAGGCTGAGCACGCGGTTGGTGAGGTGCCGGTCATCCCCAAAGCTGCATTTACTGCCCAGGAAGGTCTGGTGATACCAGTCCTCAAGAAACTGCTGCAGCAGGGCATTGCGGTACATGCCCAGGGGGCCGCTGATGCACTGCACGCAGCCGAAGTAGGACTGGCAGGCGCGCTCCACGTTGAAGGCCATCCAGTACCGCACGCTGCTCAGGAAGGAGATCCACGAGTCGTACTTGTTCAGGATCTGGGAAAGGGATTGACATGAGCCCTGGTACTGCTGCATCTCCCCCCCATCGCCACCCCAGGGTGCCCTCCCTAGCAGGGGGGTACCTGCACATCGCCTCCGACGCCACCAACGCGGGGGTCAGCCTCCAGGATGCGGAGCATCTCCGCGGTGCAGGCGGGGTCCAGCACCGTGTCTGAGTCACACACCTGGGGGCAGAGGGAACGTCGAGCCCCGCTCCCGCTGCACCCACGCACCGGCAGACAGCCCAGCCCGCAGCAGGGCAAGCCCGAGCCACGGCCGGCGAGACCAGGCACAGCCCCGAGACCGGCACCGCTGCCCTGGGCCACCCAGCCCTGCCATGGGACCTGCCCTGGCCACCACCCCTCAGTCGCGCGTGGGGACCTGGCACCCCACACCATGACACTGTCCCATAGTGTGACACCTGCCTGCGGCAGGGGACGCACCGAGAGGTGATGTGAAACCCTCACAGGCAGGGCCTGACACCTCGGGCCAGCAGCCATTCACCTCCCAACCCCAGTGGTGCTGCCCCGCAGCCAGTGCACAGGGCTGAATCCAGCACCAGGCAGCAGGTGCTGCGATGGGTTCACAGAGCTGCTCCTGCTCCACCCGCAGCCCCTCTGCCTGGCCCCAACTTTATGCCCGCATTCCCCCCCTCCCACCCAGCCCATGCATCCACCTGGATATAGTCCACGGAGTCTCCAAGCGCCCGGAAGGCCGTGTACATCACCTCCCGCTTCCCACCCCACTTCTGGAGGATGCAGGAGTAGGTGGTGCCGCGCACCAGCGCCTGGACATGGGCCAGCCCTTCCCGCAGCCCGGCCTCTGTCTCTCCCTCTCCCCACGCGTGGAAGTTACTCCTCCAGATGTAGCTGCCTGAATGCTCGGAGCCCATCACATCATGGAAGATGTCCAGCATGTAGGTGTCGTCGGGGCCGTTTCCATCCACCACCATCACCACTTTGAGGTCGGGGAAGGCGATGCGCTTGACGGAGCGCAGGCACTTCTTCAGGTAGTCAGGATCCTCCTGGTAGGCGGCGATGCAGAGGGCCACCGAGCGCCCCAGCCGCACCGGCCGCCCCTCGCCCCTCATGCGCCGGTGCTCCAGGAAGGCAAAGAGGCTCTGGATGAAGAGGTGCAGCCCCAGGATGGCCCCGTAGAGCCCGAAGGAGAGGTAGTGCTTCTCCGTGTGGATGAACTGGTAGCCTGTGACGTAGGCAGCGAGGATGCCCCCCAGCACCGCCAAGGCGAAGAGGCTGGTCCCAATAACGCGCAGGGCTGTGGAGAGGCTCACTGGCATCTGGGGAGTGGGGGGACCAGACAGTGTCAGGGCAGGGCGCAGGGGACAGTCCACATCCAGACCCACTGCCTGGACCCCCAGGAGGGGAAAGCACGGGGATGCCGCTGGTCTGCCGCCCCATGGCCACCCTGTCCGTCGCCAGTTATCAGTCTGGGGGTGAGACCTTCCAGGTGGCCCCATAGCGTGGGGGTCCCAAGCATCCCACTGAATACGGTGCCTGCACCCCCCCACGCCCCGTCCAACCCAGCAGGGGCTGCATCAGCTCCCAGGCAACCTCCCGGCTGGAGGACAGAGAAGGACACAGGGACGTGGGAGCCACGGGCTGTCCCCATGGGAGACACCCTGCCTGTGCACGGCCCCCCCGCGTCCCCGGGTACCTTCCGGCAGCGGGAGCCGGCAGCTCCCGGACCCCCACCCCGGTAAGGGCAGGGTCTGGGCAGCGCGGACGGGCAGCGGCGGGGACCGCAGAGCCGTACCGCAGGCACGGCCGGGGGGTGCGGGCAGGCGAAGGAGCGCGGGTAGGTGGGGGGGGAACGAACACGTGGGGGAAGGTGCAGGCAAGGGGTGCGGGCAGGGCGCAGAGCCCTGGGCAGAGCCCCCACCGGGGACCCCCGAGCTACCGACAGCGCCCCCGGGCAGCCCCAGACCCTCCCCGGGGCCCCGCAGCCTCCGGTACCGGCTCTGTGCTCCCGGTGCCGCCGCGGCCGCTCTCGCAGCGTGGGGGCACAGACAGAGGGTGGAAGAGTCGGGGCGCCCCAAACCGGGGGAAGGAGGGACCGGGACTCACCGTGCTGGTGCCGGTGGTGCCGCTCGCCCCGGCCGCCGCCGCCGCCGCCGCTGTGCACTCGGCCCGGCCCGTGCGGCCCCTTTATACCGCGGCGGGGCCGGCACCGCCCGCAGCCCGCGGGGGCTCCGCCCGGCACCGGCACCACCGGCACCGACACCGGCACCACCCACGGCACCGCCCGCAAGCAGCGGAGACCCTCCCGGCACCGGCAGCACCTGGCACCGGCTCCAGCCCCGCACTGCGGGAGTGATGACCGGCACCGGCATCACCCGGCGCTGCGCTGCACCGGCACCGGCAGCATCCGGCACAGGCGACACGGCCACCGGCTTAGAGCCGCTGGCCAGGGGCCGGCCGCAGCCCCTTGCCTGACCATGGCTGGGCACCCGGGGACACCTCAGCGGACACCCCGGGACACCCCGTCCCCCTGCCCCACTCTCGCGATCCCTCTCATGACACCGCGGGTAACCTACGTGTCAAGTCCCTGCACCCCGGTATCCTCACAAGGTTGCGAACCCCTGGGGGTGCCCAGGGCCTGCCCCACACCGTTCACTCTGTCCTGATGGCCAGTGGTACTCAGCGCAGGACCAGGGTCACCCGGGAGACCGCAGCCCTGTGCCGGCTTTTGGCAGGGGACAGCCAGCCCCCGGGGGGACCATGAAGAGCCCAGAGGAGCTGCAGCCTCAGCTCTGAGCTCAAACCCAGCACATTTGGGGTTTCATCCTGATGTGGGCTGGGAGCTGGCTGCAAATTGATGTTGTGATTAGGCCCTGACCCTTTTCCCCCCCCCCCCCCCCCCCGGGGTCTGGGGAAGTGGATCCCTTCAGCAGGAGCACCCCAGCCAAATGGCTGCCCTCAGCTGGAACCCCCAGCACCCCTGTGATGCTGAGCAGCAGATCCCCACTGCAGGTGCTGAGCAGTGTTCGGAGTAGGTGGTGAGGAACTGGCGAGCCCATGGACGCTGGGGAGGAGGCACAGATCCACCAGGACCCTCAGCACCACCAGTGGGGCTCCCACACGCCCCGGCTGAGCCGGGCAGCGCTGGGACATGGAGGTGTGAAAGCCGGTGTGGATCAGATCTCGAAGGGTGCTGCCTATGCCACTGCTGCCAGGCGCATGCAGGGTGCCCATAGCTGCAGGCAGGCAGCAGGGAGGAGAACGGGGGACAGGGGCAGCGTGTCCCCACCCTGCAGCCCTCCCCATACCTCTCGGCAGGGTCCCAGCCCGGGGGTTGCCCCTTACCTTCCGTTATGCCCGTGGCTGCCGGGTGTCTCTCGCCGCTGCCGGCCGGGCTCTGGCCGCAGGAGCCCTGCCCGAGATGGAAACCAAACTCCCTCCTCCTGCAGCACAGCCACCCGCGTTGTTCCCTGCGGCAGGATGGCCGGACGGCGCCCGCCCAGCCCCATCAAAAGAGACTTTTCATTCAGAATCCGTCCCCTGCTGCTTGCGGCAGGCCCCGGGGAGGCTCAGCCCGCACGGCAGCATCGCGGCGTGCGCGGCACCGGCACCGGTGTGGGCTGGCGGCAGCAGCGACAGCGAGGAGCGCGGGGCTGCAGCCGCTCTCCGGTGAGGACAATGCACTCCCGCTGCCCGAGCACACCCGGCACGGCACGGCGAGGTGCGGGCCCGGCGCAGGCGGCTTCGCTGCGGGGTGAACACACAGCCCAGCAGCCTCAATCCTGCGGGGAGCAGCGGTGCTGCGCACCTCACACCATCCGGCACCGGTATCAGGTACCCGGGGCCGAGCATGGCGGGGCTGGGGCTGCCCAGTGCAAGGGGGGACTCTGGGCTGGGCCCCTGAGGGCTCTGTGTTACCGCAGTCCCCAGCCCTGCTCCCCCCACCCGGTGCGTCCATGGTGCAGCAGTGGGGCCCGTGGTGCTGCAGCACTCACGGGGGCTGCCCTGGCTACAGGGAGACGGGTGATACTGATATTGGGATGTCCCCGAGCACACATGGTCCTGGCACAGATGGGGCTCCTGGTGCTGCAGTGGAAGGGCCTCATCCTAAGATCTCGCTGTGAGGGAGACCCCAGGAACAGGCGCAGAAGGACAGTGCCATGGCAGGGCCTTCCCCAGGGACACTGCAGAGGGGCATGGGGTCCTAAATGCAGCCCCACTCCCGGCACTGTGGCATCACCACCTTGGCAGGCTTGGCAATGCCAGCTCCGCCTCCTTCTCCCCCCCCCCACCCCGGGAAAATCACTCAGATTTGGCTAAAATCACAACATTTAGAAGCTGGCTCAGCTGCTGCCTCCAGGGATTGTCCCTGTCCCTCATCCAGGGCTGGCACCCAGAACAGCTTCCTCCATGCCAGCGGGCACCCAGCAGGGAGCATGTAGGCTCTGCCAGCATCCCAGCAGTCCCAGCTCCCTCCAGCACCTTCATGGCATGAGCACAGTGCCAGGGAGGACCAGACCAGGCTGTGTGGCTGTGCAGACCCCTCACCTCCTGGCGCCCTTGGCTGATGCCCACCCTTCCACGGCACCCAAGTGCTCACTCAGAGCCTGGGTCACTGCCACCAGCCCAAGCACACGAAGGCTGGGACATGGCAACGACGGCACCCAGAAGCTTCACAAAGCTCCCAGAGACATCACGGACACAGTGCTGAGCACGTCTCCATTTTATTTCCTGCCCCATCCCAGCGAGTCCACATTGCCCCAGCCATCTCCTGGCTGGCGGTATCCCAGGGGCACAGCGAACCCTTCCAGTTGGAGAGCTGGCCCCAGCTCCTGAGCAGGAAGAGTTAACTTCTGCAGCCTATGGCAGCACTGTGATCTTCTTCTCCAGCGTTTGTGGAGGGAAGAGAACCCTCCTCATCACCACGTCCAGCTCCTCCAGCGCCAGCTGTGCATGCAGCTTGGTTGCACCGTCAGGCTCAGCCACCACCACGTGCTTCAGCAGCCGGTAAAGGTCCCGAAGGACGTCCTGCAGCACCTGGGGGCAGGAGGAGCGTCAGCATCCGCCGGGGTCTCGCCCGCACCCGCAACAACCCAAACCACAACCCCAAGCGTGCCCTAGCAGGCGCAGTGCTGGCCCTTCCGCTGACACTGCTGGTGCCGGGACGCAGCGGCACCACCGCCCCCCTTGCCTCAGGCAGTGACTTGTTTCCCCACAGAGCAGCAGTGCAGTCCAGCACCGGCACATTGTGGTGCCCCCCCCCCAGCATGGGGGCATGAGGGGAAGCTGAGATCTTGGCTGTGGGTATTCCCATGGAGAATCAGCCATTTCCTCCACGGGAGCTGAGTCCCAACATGTTCAGAGATGGGAAGTGGGGAGGGAGGCCACGGCCCACGGATAAACTGGGCATTACCAAGTCAAATCAGTGATGAACAACTCCCACACCTCCCAGGAGCTGGCACTACCCATGGCATGGCGTGGCTCTGCCCCACAGCATGGCTCTGCCCCACAGCATAGCCAAGCAGCTCAGGGAGATGGCCCCATGAAGTCCTGTTTGTCCCAAGAAGGATCCAGTGCAAAGGGACCCTTCGGTGAGGGAGGCACAAGCTGGAACCCCCAGTCCCATAAGACTTTCCCTGGAAGCTGCCTGGGAATGAGCCCTGCAGCCCTCACAGGGCCTGGGGGTGCCAAGGAGCCTGGCAGAGACTCTCTGGTCCTGGCGAGAGGCAGGGATGTGACCCACCTCAGTGGCCTTCTCACTGAGCCCCCGCAGCAGCACCACCACCACGTGCACAGCGGCTCTTCGCACTTCTGCCTCAGGGTCTGTCCTGGCTATGGCCGTCACACAGGAGGTGACCTGTGGGGACAGGGTGGGAGAACCATCAGCAAGGGCAGGGGGATGCTGGGGGACCCAGTAGAGCAGCAGGTGATGATGAGGATGGGACCCCTACTCCCAGCTGGACATTCCCCTGCCAGCACCCAGCCCAGGGGGGTTGATTTTCGCGTGGCACAGGGCAGCGAGCAGCCCTCCCTCTCCTTCCACACAGCTGCCTTGAGAAGCTTTATAAAAAGCAGGCATAGTCAAAGGAACCTAATTAAACCCCAGCAGTGACAGCCGGAGAATTAGCACAGCTCAAGCCTTCCCAAAATAGCAGCGTGTGGCACGCTGGCATCTCGTCAGACTGCCGGTACCCCACTGATGCTGCGTGGCTGTGAGTGGGGAGCAGGGAAAGAACCCTGTGCACTGTGTCACTGATGTCTCCTGACCTTCCTCCCACTCCAGGAGGCAACGTGGGCTGAAGGTCTTAACTCCTACAGGATCACAGAGCCACTGGCTCAAGGGCTGCCAAATGTGATGCCCGCAACTCCCATCAAGGAGATCCGGGAGAAGATCCCCCCAGAAGGAAGGCTCACCCCACCAGGATCACAGCTCTGGTGGCTCTAGCACTGTGTCTCACCCCACCAGCTATCAGCTGGGTTTTGATGCTGATAATGGACTGGTAAGGATTTATCATTAAGCATGAGGAGGTGCCTTTGGCAGGTAATAAATGTGCCCCCAGGTCTCTTCCTGCAGACTGCCATGGGTGGAGCAGCACCACAGTTTTTCCTTGGGCTATCGCTTCTCTGCACAAACAACATCCAATTATAAAGCTGATTACAGATCTTTTAGCCCTAAAAATCAAGGCTAGAATTTCCTGAGGGTTTGCTGCAAGGTCCAATGATTTTTATATCCTGCAATATCAGGAACTACCACTCATGTCCTTTGTGGAAACCCCAAGCTGTTGTGTCCCCAGCAACGAGCATTCAGCAGTTCAGCATCCACCAACAAACCACCCTCATTAAGGAGGCAGGGACCCCGGAAAAGGGCTGGCAGCGCTGGGATGGAGCTGGTACCTCCTGGACAATGGAGCCCAGCTGAAAGCCGAGGCGCTGGCAGAGCTCGCCCAGGTTGGAGAGGCTGCTGGCCCGCAGCGCGCTGTCAGGGTCCCGTGCACCCTGCAGGAAGGCCTGGACCAGTGGCTCCCGATGTTTGAACACCATGTCCCCTGCAAGAGAGAGCAGAGCAGCACGTCATGGGCAAGGAGACACCCACAGCCCCTTCCTAACAAAGCCCCGCTGCAGTAGGAGCAACTAGATTGCTCCCTGCTCCTTGCAGCACCACCAAACAGCTGTATGCAACATCTGGAGCGTGGCTTGTGCCCAGTACAGGGACCCTGGCACAGCCCTCTGTGAAGCATGGACAGAGCCTCAGCGGGGACTTGCGGGACACCAGCAACCCCCAACAGACCCCACAGCCAAGACCTTTGTGTGGGGCTGCCCTCCACATCCTCCAGCTCCCACGGGGCCATTCAGAGGTGACCCCAGGAACAGCCACAGAAACGATGTGCGAAGCCCAAGTTCTCACATAATTCAGCTGCACAAACCCCCACCCCAATTAGCACATGGAGGCCCCGGGGATGTGTGAGCCGCCTAATTACAGGTCTGCACACAGAGCCCGTGACCGGCATGCACAATCACCCAGGCACATGGTCCTGTGCGAGATGGATGGCTGGTGGCCATGGCATGGGCACAGCTCCCACTCTGAGTTTGGTGGTTTCCTGGCTTTCCTGAGCTCTGGATACTCCTTGGACACTGGTTTGACACCACTTGGAGTACTGATGACAGTTCCAGTGTCCCCAGCATAAGGACATGGAGCTGTTGGAGCAAGTCCAGAGCAGGCCACGAGGATGCTCAGGGGCTGGAGCACCTCCTGTATGGGGACAGGCTGAGAACATCGGGGCTGTTCAGCCTGGAGAAGAAGAGGCTCCGTGGAGACCTCAGAGCAGCTTCCAGTGTCTGAAGGGGGCAACAAAGATGCTGGAGAGGGACTCTTCATCAGGGACTGCAGTGATAGGACAAGGGGTGATGAGTTAAAACTGAAACATGGGACGTTTGGGTTGGATATAAGGAAGAAGCTCTTCCCTGTGAAGGTGCTGAGGCGCTGGCACAGGGTGCCCAGAGAAGCTGTGGCTGCCCCATCCCTGGCAGTGTTCAAGGCCAGGTTGGACACGGGCTTGGAGCAAGCTGCTCTAGTGCAAGGTGTCCCTGCCCATGCTAGGGGTTGGAGCTGGTCTTTTCCAACCTTAACCACTCTGTGATTGCATGTGTCTTGCAGCCAGTGGAGGCAGTGGGATGCCCCAGGATGCAGGGACAGAAATAAGCCCCATGGGCAGTGGAGGAACCCATCCTGCACATGGGGGCTCAGGGCTTCTACTGTGAGGGGCTGGGGTTGGCCAGCCCCTGCACCACTGGCACACTGACAGCCTTGGGCTGTGTGCAACCATGTGATGGCCAAGAGCTGGGCAGGAACAGAAAAACCAGGTCCTTCTGTAGGACCACTCCATTGCAGCTTCACTCTTCCTACATGGCCCTCTCTCTCACACTACGCACTTGGAGAAGCAGGGATGGCTCCTCCATGGCACAGGGTGGGAGAGCTCAGGGCAGCACTGTGATGCCAAGGATGGCCATGCTTGCTTGGGAATGCAGCCTGCTCAGTCCTTGCACCCCAGGAGTCAGCCCAAGCACTGCTGGACGATCCAAGCTCCTCCAAAGCCAACAGCACACTGCTGATCAGCCACAGAAAGAGCATGAAGTGCTTCCTTTCCTGCAGCAAACCAGGCGCATGCTCCCTTGACAGAGAAGGGAGAAGGTCTGTTGTGGTGCACCCAGAGCAGATTTAATGGGTTTGCAGCAACAGCTAATTGTGCTGGCGCAAGGTCTGTACGAATCCTTGCGTAGCACTTGGCCCCACATTGCTGGAGACAGGACTGTGCTTTGGTGATTTGCCAGGCAATAGGAGCCTGCTGTAAAATCCCCTCCTGGATGGGAAAAAGCCACTCCAGTGGATGTCAGGCAGAGACAGAGACAGGGATGAGGCAGGAGGGAGGCACAGCGGTCCCAGAGCAGCCGCAGGAGCTCGGCACTGTAGGCAGCAGAGCGCTTCTGGAAGCACCGGATAAGTGCTCGCTCTTAAATCCTGAAGCTTTGCAACAAAAACAACTTTGTGCGATTTGCTCTATAAATACGCAGGCGAGCCAGGACGCGTTGGAGCTACTGCCCGCGGCAGAGGCACTGAGGAGTGGGGGGAGAACCTCAGCGGAGGCTGTGCCACCGTCCCACTGCCAGCCCTGCCGAGGGAAACCCAGCACCGTGCAGTGCCATGCAAAGCGAGGGCTGGATGGACGGACATTGCCCGAGGGCCTTTAGACACTAAGAGCGTTTGCTGCCTATCACGCTGCCCACCGGAGCTCCACTGGGACACGATGGGATCACTGGCTGCAATGCCGTCCTCATCCTGGCAGCTGGGCAGGGCAGCAGCATGACCTGGCCCTAGAAGCACTGGTCCCAGTGGGATGCCTGCAGTGGCGTTGCTCAGGGATGTCACCATGGCCAGGGGACACTGCTGTGCCCCAGAGGAGAGCTCCAGCAAGCCAGGCAGCCAGCACAGGTCCCAGGGCCTCAGGCAGTCTTGGCTCTGCAGGAGGAGGTTGGTTCTGCCATGGCCAACCAGGGAACAAAGCACCCGCGGTTGATGGGGAACCCTTGCCTGGCTGTCCAGCAGCAAGGACAGCGGCTGCCACCTTCCCTGGCCATAGACAGCTCTCAGTACATGCTCTCGCCGCTCTGGCCTCTGCTGGGAATAAGACAAGGCGTTTTAGGACATGTCCCAACAGCAGCTGCCGGAAAGGCCTCATCCAGCTTCTACCCCTCAGCCCTGCGTGTCCGGGCGCTTCCCAGCAGCCTCCAAACCCAGTGCTGCCAACTGAGGGGACAGTGGGCTGCCGACAGGATCCACCACTCCAATCCTGCTCATACCAGGCTGTAGGAGCTGGTTCTCACTTTTGGACTACCAAAATCCCCCATGTGCTTTACCCCCTGGAGCTGACGGCAGAGAAGAGCACGGCGAGGGGCTGCACAGTTCTGCAGCTGCTGTCAGCATCCAGCACTGCCGTGCTCATGGACGTGGCTATGGACTCACCCAGTGCCTGGGTGACACGCATCAGCACCTCGCCCAGCTTCATCCTGGTGATGGCAGCTGCAGCATCCTCCGTGCCACGTGCTGGGCACCGGTACTCTGCCAGCAGGATGGGCAGGATCCGCTCTGGGTACTCGCTGGAGAGCAGGGCAATACCTGGGGGCAGTGAGAGGTAAGTGTGGGTCAGAGCCAGACACATGCCACCACCCTCGGCAGAGGAACCACCGGTGGCTGTGCCACCCCATGTCCTGGGTGCAGCCATCACCTGCAGGACCCCTGCACTGCCCCAGCCTCACACAAAACCACAGCACTGGGGCAGCCCAGTGCTGGGCCTGGTTGGGTGCCAAGCCGAAAAATAAGTAATTTAGAAGTTGGCAGCAGGTGCCCACTAATTGCTGCTGGTTAATGTTCATCAACCCAGCATTGACTCACCTTGCTGGCTGCAGGGTTTGCCCTGAGCTGGCCCAGCAACAGCACAGCTGGGTACTGCAGGCCATGTGCAGCCAGTGTCTGGTCACTGCTCCCTGCTCCTGGCCATCAGGCACATGTTCCTGGGGTGTCCTTGTGCCCATTGGAGCTCCATGAAGCCCCTGGGTTTGCCTGGCTCAGCTGGGAGCTGGAGCCTAAGTGCGCCCCATGCCTGCCACATCTCCCCAAGGATAAAGAGAGGTCAGACCCCAGACATGGGATACAGGACGGGCTGTGCTGCAGGGCCGCACTGGCTTTACCATCCCTTTAGAGATGCAGGCTGAGGGAAAGCGCAGGCAGCAGGCGCCTCTCTGATGGGGAAAGGCAGCTGCTCTCCAGGGAAAGGGCAAACAGAGCCTCAGCAGTGCCAAGCAGTGAGTCATGGTGAGCCCCATTCCCCTGCCCTCCAGGAGCATCCGCCTTCACCTCCAACCCCATTCCCTGGTTATCAGAGGGTGCCCAGAGTTGGTTACCCTCTGCAAGCCCAGGCACATCCAGTGGGGCAGCGACCTCTCCTCTGGCTTTACCTTGCCCAGAGTCTGGCTGCATGACAACCAGCACCAGTCCCAGCACCAGCATGGTGGTGGGCAAGCCCTGCCCCTGCACTGGGGAGCTGGAGCATGGCAGCAGGGACCCCACTGGCAGTGTCCAGCATCACGCATGGCAAGCTGCGGTGCCAGCACAGCAGGGGCTGCCTGAGTCACTGCCACAAGGAACCGCGTCAGGGTTAATCACAGCCGCAGTGAAACACGGAGGCAGCTGAAGAGGGTGAATTAATCACCGGGGGACGGCTGGGGAGTTTGTGTTTCACCTGCAGGGCAAGGACAAACCCATCCCACTCAAGACCGTACAGGCAGAAGGAAGCACAGTGATAAGCTCCTTTTCCAGCTGCTGCTAAAGGTTCCCTATCCAAGGCAGTTGGGGCTCCTGGCACCACTGGTATGGCTTTGGGCATGGGAATGGCACCTCCCTTCCATGTAACCTGGTGCACCATGACCCACTGTCGTACAGGATGCCTGCATTATCCTGGGTATGGAGGCACCTGCCTGTGAATCCTAATGGCACCAGTGCCATGGGGCTGTGCTGTGCATCCCGGCGCAAGCACGGACCCAAGGGTTTTCTTGGAAGCAGCATAAGCAGTGGCAGCACTGGGTTGTTACTGCCTTTTCCATCGGGATGGATGTGGCAGAGCCCTGAGGGAGCACCAGTGGGTCCCCACAGCCCTGGCTCCTCTGCCAGCCTCAGCAGAACAGACCTGGAAGCCAGAAAGTCAGCTGGGTGCAGGGCCAGGGTGCTCACACTGCACTGAAACTGCAGCCCCAGGTCAGTGGCATGGACCTGGCACAGGAACAGGGATGGGCTCCTGGGTGTCCTCTAGCCAGGGAATGCCTTGAGGGTGAGCCTGCCCAGGATACCCTCACCTCGGGGTCTGTCTCCATTAAGGAGGCACCTGTGGTCTGGGCAGATCCAGCAGTTCAGTCAGAAGGTAAATGAACTAATTACCCACTGAGTAAGAACAACTGGGAGGCAAAGCCTGCTGGCTTTGGGAACACAGTACAAAACCTGCATGTGGCTCCAGGCTTGACCAAACACCACAAAGACACAGTCCAGGAGGACAAAAGATGCTGAGCCCTCAGCCTGGCCACAGGTCCCCTGTGCTTTGCTCTCCTTACCCACCCACCCCCCGCCCCCAGCACAAAACCTTCTCCTACAAAGCACTGCCACTTGCCCTGGCCAGGCACCACTCACCTTGGATAGCTGAGAGGTAGACGAAGGCATCCTCGTGCTGCACGTTCTCCAGGAACACCTGCAAGGAGAAGGGAGCACCACTGGCAGCAGCCCCACAGCCCTGGTCCCTCCTGCCTGATGCCTTCAGTCACCAGTAATGGCACAGTCAGAGGGCTCTCAGCTAACAGGGACCATCCCCAGCCCCGGCTCTGCACAGGATGGGGACCACAGTGGGAGCCTGATACCTGCAGGAGTTTCTCCTGAAGCTTCAGGGCCTCTGGATCGCGCTGTGTGATGAGGCTGGTGAGGCAGCGCAGCGCAGCTGCCCGGCCCGGCGGCTGTGGGTCGTAGGCTGACACCAGGAGCTCCTGGAGCCCAGCTGGGCTGTCAGTACATGGGGCTAGAGCAGGACCAGTGGTGCTGGGCTCACGGCTCAATGTCTGCTCTTCACTCCTCTGCCCAGGAGCCGAGGAGTTGCTGTGGCTGTGCCATGATGGTGCCCAGCCACCCTTCAGGTTTGGTGTTCCACTGGGAACGCCAGCAGGCCTCTGCACTCCAGTCCCTGGCTTCTTCCCCAGCACGCCGTCAGCAGCAGCACCCAGTGTCCCGGGGGAAAAGGCCCCGTGGGTGCAGATGGCGATGCGCAGGTCTGAGGCCAGCTCCTGGGTGACGGGCTCAGGGTAGGTGCGGGAGAGCTCCTCCAGCAGCGGCACCAACCGCTTCAGCACGGCGAAGTCGCTGGATTGTAGCTGTGGGAGGAGAGAAGCAGCACTGGCATCACTGCAGTGGCAATGTAGGTTTGGTCCCTGGGGTGCTCCTGGGAGCAATGCACATGGATCTGTCCCAAGGTGCTGTTGGACAGGATGGGAAGAGGAAGAGCCCAAACGAAAGTGGTGTCCATGCAGGACCCTGCTGCTTAGCATAGGGGCTGAGCTGAGGACATCTCTACCACTGTTCCTGCCTTTGGTCCTGCTTGGAAGGAAGCTCCAGGCAAAGAAGCTGCAACCTGTCCTCAGACTGCAGCACCCAAGAGGGAGAAATTCCTGCCCTGACTCGGGTTTAACTGCTAAAGCAAAATCTGGGCTGTAAGACCTGAAAAGTGATGCTTTAGTAGAGCTTTTGGATGATTCTGTAAAAAAGGCCTCGGCCACTGAAATCCCAACAGCTTTTCAGCTGTTTTGCATTCAATTTGTGAAGTCAAGTTGCTCCCATTAACGCCAGAGCGGAGCAGGAGCTCGCCTGGGAGGGGGCCCATTACAGTCGCAAGATTCTGGTTTCAAGTCTTCTCCAGCTAAACGATGTTATTTTCCCAGTGTCAGAAATTTAGCAATAAGACACAATAATCATTTTTCATTAACAGTTGCATTTTCCTTTGGGCATGTCCGGGGATGAAGCAACCCCTACAGCTCAATGATGTAAGTGGAAGCCAGAGTGATTACAGTGAGGTAATGAACATGTGCTTGCTCCCTGATCCCAGTTCAGTCACTGTGTCACGGGGCAACCGGGTGATGTACCAGCTTTGGAAAGGATGTCTTTAGAGAAGCCCTTAGTGACATGGCTTAGTGGTGGACTTGGCAGTCTTGGGCTAATGGCTGGACTTGATGATCTTAAAGATCTTTACAACCTCATTGATTCTATGATATTTATACATCATACATACTGGTACAGCCAATACTAGGAAGTTCATTGTGCTCCGGAGATGGAGCTTGTGAATGAGGGATGCAGAGGATGCAGTGCTGGTATTTAAAGATGCTGTACATGACTGCACTGCTCTGTCAGAGCCTTCCTTTTGGATTATAAATTAATTACCCAGGCTCTTAGGGCTGCCTTGACGAGGTCAAACTCTCAGCCAGTGCCACAAGGAAAAAATACATATACACACATACACATGCTAGGACTGATCAGAGACTGCAATCGAGTGAGCACCCAGGCTGCAGCACCCCGTGGCTGGACACAATGGGATGGTGCCTGGTATCCCCTCCCCACACCCCAAGGCCACCCAGCACCCAGCATCACCCCTCACCTGCACGGCTCCACCAAGCATGGCAGCCACCAGCCCCATGGCCATGGCAAGGGTCTGTGCCTCCACGGCCGCGCCGGGGCCTCGTGACGGGCTGGCACAGGCCCGCTGCAGCGTGGCTGCCACAAACTCCTGCACCTGCCAGCAAGAGAAGCAGGTAACAGTGGTTAGGAACATGGATTCCTGTGGTGCTGCTGCCTCCTGCAGCCCTCAGCTCTTGGGTTCTCACTGTCCCTGCATCTATTTCATTTTTCCCAGGCCAAGCCTTTCTTTAGCATGGTATCATACGAACCCTTTGTGTTTCCCTGTTGTTAACGCCACCCTGAACTTCCCTCTCAGCCCCATCCCTGACCAGCACCTTCCCAACTCCCTTTACATCACCCTGTCCAGTGAGTGGTATCAGCAGGACTGGGGAGCCACAGTGACCTGGGGGACAGCTGGGACATTAGTGCAGTCCAAGTGTGGATCCACTGGGGATGCAGAAGGGAGCTGGACTCCTTGACGGGACTGGAGCTCATGAACCACTCTCTGCCCCTCTGGCAGCAGCACAGTTGGGCTAATTTTCTGGGATCACAGTCCCCAGCCCCTCATCAGACAGTCTAAAGGAGGATTTTGGGAGAAGGGCTGAGCCAGGCAGCCCAGTCCATCAGTGCCCACAGCCACTGGGCTCTAGCATGGTCTGCGCTACTGCCCACCAACCACAGCCTGCAACAAGGTGATGGCTAAACCATGGTGCCCACTCTTGGCAGCAGAAGCCCCTGTGAGGGCTGCAGGAGCCAGAAGAGGGAAAACAGCCCCTTCTCTGCCTCCTGTCCCTGCTCTATGGCCATGGGATGGGAGCTGGGAAGCCAAGTGGGATGGGGCTGAGAGGGAAGGTCGTGTTGGTAATAACAACAGGGAAACACAAAGGGTTTGTATGAAATTGTGCTAGAGAAAGTCCTAGGCTTGGAAAACTCAAGTAGATGCAGAGTGTCCCTTCCCTGCCCCAGCAGGGGCTGCCAGCACTTGCCCTTGCCTAGGACAGCTCCACAGAGCTCCAGCTCCTGACGGCTGTCCATAGCCCCCCTTCATCAGCCACCAGCCACCCCCATAGAGCCACACTCGATCTGGGCCATTTACCATGTGTGTTACGTATTCTGTGGGCTTCTTTTCTCCCCAGGCCCATAATGATCCTGCCTGGTTGCCATTCGCCTTCTCAACGTTAAACACCAACCCCCCTCATCCTCCACGCTTCCTGCCTTTCTAATGGAACTTTAAATCAGTGAGTTTATTTTCCCCATGCCTTTGCCAGCTGTGCTGGGAAGGGGCTGGACCAGAGTCCTTCCAATGAAACAGGCATATAAAAGAGCAGGAACTACTTTGCTCCCAAGTATGAGAGCAACAAGGTACTATTGCACCAAATCCATTTCCAGCCTCCAGGACATGGGCATTGGGTGCAAACAACATGTTTCCTCATCAGAAGAGCTGATCAATCACTGCCTGCCTTGTTAAAGCACATCCCTGCTGCAGCAAGGAAGGAAGCAGGCTGGGAGCAGCTGTGGAAACGGCTTAGGTACCTTCTGGCCTGATTAGTCCAGAAAAGACATGTCATCAAACAGCAAGAAAGTAAACGTCAGAACATCTGCTCTCACACAACAGCGACACACAAGCTGTACGGGTTGAAATTATATTTAATGTAAAAAAAAAAAAATAGGAGCATCATGACTAAATAATCTCTCAGTAGATAGCTACTGAGAAAAACAAAAGGCTAAAAGAAATCTAGAGGGAAAAATACCCCATCTTAATCTAGAAGGAGGAAAAAAGGTTATAAAATAAACCACTGTGGCACATTTAAGTCTCATGCAGGAGGAGAGCACCACTGGAGCATCAAGGAAATCAAGTCAACCCAATGAAAGCTGGGGGGATGTGAATAAAATAAACTGTGCGGCTGAGGGTGTCCACAGCTGCTGCCATTCCTGGGCTCTGGCTTTGGGAAGGCAGATCACGCTTGCTCCAACTCCATTAAGCATAAAGCCGTTGACCAGAGTGCCCACAGCAAGAGCAAAAACCCAAAGAAACCCTGTGCTGCAGAACCTGCTCAAAATCAGTTCTGCAACTGCCTGTCCCTCTCTGAAACACAACCCGAGGGGAAGTGTAATTGTTTTTTTGTCTGGGTTTCTTTTTTGGAGGTTGCTTCTTTTTATATTGGACTCACACTGGACCCAGAACCTGGCAAATCCTTCCCCACTTCCCATCCTAACTTTGTGACCCAGGGAGTGGAGCGGGTCTGTGCTGGTGGGTGTGATGGAGAGGCAGGTAGGGACAAAGCCCCGCTGGCTGCCACTCCCCCTGGCACTGCAATGACACTGCCTGGGTCCCCTCTGTCACTGCACAGCACACACAAAGACTCCTTTGTCCCAAAGGAAAAAGTGAGGACACCTGTGCTCGCAGTGACCGCCTCTGCTCGAGCCAGTCACAGTTAACTGGCATAACCAGGTCACCGAGGTGAAACATAAAACCAACCAAAAAAACCCACACTCAAAAATACTCCAGAACACCAGGATGAGGAAGTTCAAATGCACTGATCAGCTGGGGAATACTGTGCCTTCCCAACCCTTTTTGGTAGCAGGCTCAAGGAGCCCCAGCTGGCCTTGGGAACCACAATATTTAATATATTTTGTGGCAGGATGTGGCAGCAGTGTCATTACAAACAGGACTGACATCATGGATAAGCAGCCAGCGCTTGCTTAAAAAGTCTGTTGGGTACAGATATTTTAAAGCTTTGTTAAACTTGGGAATAAATTTTGCTCAAAGGAGAGAAGGTGGTAAGTCAGTTCCTGTTAACACACAGGCTGCTCTCTTGGCTTTTAATACACAACCATGGACACAAATATGAAAGTATCTGCTGGGCTTCTCTGTCCTTTCTCTGCAGCTCACTCTGCCCTTCCTGGTGGCACTGCAGAGGACAGTGTCTTTTTGAGACACAACTGAATCAATAAACTGCTTTTCCTGGGGATGCTCTACCTTTCTCCAGCTGTTTCTTAGCCACTGTCTCCTTAGAGCCCAGCAGCCCAGAGCTCTGCCACACGCTCCAGCTGATACCCCAGGGGTTTGTCATGACCAACCTGAGCAACATCTGTGAACACAGTGTCTGAGATGTTCTCGCACAGCGTGGCCACAAGCTGCAGGACCAGCAGCTTCCTCCTCTGCCCGGCGTGGTACTGCTCCAGCTCCAAGAGAGTCCCTCCAGGCGCTGCAGCCAAGTTCGAAGCCACCTCATCCTCCGCAGCCACATGAGTCAGTGCCTGCAGGGAAGAAAGAACAGGACATGGACATGCACTGGTTAGACACAGGCAAATTCACACCAGGCACACTGCGGTCACTGTGCCAGTAGTCATGGGCACAGCAGGTCCATGTGATCCAAACCTCCATGCTGCTGCAAAGGGTTCCTGGTTACCTCCCCTCTTCCAGCCTTGTCCCTTTTCCAGATGCTCACTTGTCACTAGGCCAAACCCTCACAAACCTCCATGGACACCACAATGAGCACCACTGAACACTTGTCCTAGGGCAAACCATCCTCTGGGCTGTGAGGCTGGCTGGGTCTCTGCTGGCAGCCTTGATTTTGGCCATGGCTGCTCACATAGGTACCCAGAGTGCCCTTCCCCTTTGCAGAGCTCATGTTGACTCCTCATGCAACCAGGACTTTCCACTGGGTACAATCAAGGTCTCTGAGAGCTGCCCACAGCTCTCTACACCCACGATGCTGTACAACCTGTGTGACTGTGGGCTGGGGCTCCAACTACCAGCAAGGGCACAGAAAATGCAGCCCAGGCACTGCCAGGAGGGAACTGCAGGGACTCTGAACAGGATCAAAGGGAGCAGATGCCTGGGCCCCCTTGCTAAAGCCAAGAAACCAACGGGGATCATTCATGGCCTCAAACACACCATTAAACTTCAGACATGCTCTGGTTGTCAAAAGAGACTGGGGGGGGGGAACAACGGTTAACCATTTCAGGGACACCAGGGCTGCCTTCTGCACCTATGCTGCTCTGCCCAGCACACAGCAGGACTGCTCCAACATGTGCAGTAGCCTGGTTCAGAGCTCCCAAGCCATGTAAGGGGACCACTGGTCTCCTTTCCCATCTGCCATACTCAGTCTGAGGAAGCTGATCCTGCAGATGTGCCCCAACCCAGTGACTTGCCTGCCCTTACCTGCAGGCAGCGGATGAAGAAGTCTCCGGCTAGACCACTCTTCTGACAGTGAGACAAAAGCTCCACCAAGTTCTCCACGTGGCACTGCTCCAAGGAAATCTTCTGGTAGAGGGCATCATCTTCATCACTGAAACAAGTCCCTGTGTCACCTACATGAATGCATCCAGACCTTTTCCAGGGCTGGCTCTAAAGTACTGAACAGCAAGGTGAAACCCTGCTTCTGCACTCCTGTAAATCTCCCTTCCCAGCACTACCAGAAAGCAGAAGCCTGGAGGCACCTGAGCCAAACTACTGCTCAGTTCATTTGGCCTATGTGATCACACACTCAGTTCATTAATTAACCTGCATTCATTAAAGGAGTAACATTGCAGAAACCATGAGCACAACGCACATGTTTAACCCAGCCATCCTACAAAGAATGGGATTAGCGCTGGTTAATTCATGCAGTGGTCATAACCATGAAAATAGGGCAGACATGGGCACAGCCATGGCTGTTAAGGAGTAATTTTAAAGTATACCCAGTTTAACCAGTGCAGACCTTCTTTTAATTCAGGTCAGGAACACACTGAAATGAAGCCAAAACAAGTGTATTTTTACAGGGTTTTGTTACGGACGCTCTTGGGCGGGAGCCGTGCGCTCTGACTGCTCAATCGCACTGCCTCAGGCTTGTATCTGCCAACTAACAGCCACCCCTCTTGACACCAAATGCCACACTGCTGAAGAGGCCCAGTTTGCCTGGCTGGAGTCTAATCGCTGCAGTTTATTTCCCACATGGCCACGCTCTGTGTCTACTCATAGAGACCATCTGCAAGAGCAGGAGGGGAGTTCAGGTGCTGGCATAACTGGAGTTCTTGCTGCTGTGGTGCCACCTGTGTCTGAGTGATTTCACTCAATACACACAGCTATGATCTGCCATGAGGCAGGCTTAAGCTGGAGGCTGGAAGTTGAATCTGGCGAGTACTGGGACTGAAGGAGCACGTCCCATTCCCAGACACCCTGCAGGCAGGACATGGGACTCAGGACAAGCACAGTGAGAGCACACACTAACACTCAGACAGAGCAGGCTGCTTTTAAGGGCTGAAAGTCAGAGCTCTGTGGTGTGTATAGGGAACCCAGAGAAAAGAAACATCACTTGCCCAAGCTTGGAGCAGACAGCAGCTACCTGTGTGGCTGGGGGGGACAAGACTGCAGTGGGACAGCTCTGCCAGCCCCACACTCACCTGGACTCTACCAGGCACAAAAAGGCACCATGAAAAGGCCTACATGCTAAATGATGCCTGGGCACTGCCCCAACAGCACTCACCTGATGGTCTCCTCCACTGCAATGGTGGCTCCACCCTCGCTGCCCGCACAGAACCGGCACCTCGGGTGGAGGGTGGGCACGATGCTGTTGAGCCCTGCAAAGCCCTCCAGCACTGCCAGTGACACCTCCCGCTCCGACTTCTCCAGGAACCACAGCAGGATCTCCTGGCATGGGGAGCTGGCAAGGAGAGAGCAAGCAGTGGTGACCTTTCTCTGTCCACTGCACCCCAGCACTGCAGTGGGACTACGCATCTCTGGGTGGGAAAGAAAAGAGTTGTCTGCATCAACCACGGGCACCCCTTGGGATGCTCTGGCTGACAGCTCTGTCAGCTGAAGGCATTTGTGCAAGTTTATAAGGGGATCAGCAGCACCTCCGGTCCTTCTGGCACTCCCAGATGGAAGGATTTGGGTCCTTCAAGACTTCAGCCCTGCGAGGAAGGGAGCACTCTGTTTGAACAGCGTGTCTGTACAAGGACAGCCACTTCCACGCAGCCTCAGCACGATGTGCCTGGTGCTTCGCGCCAACATGACAAAGCACAGAGCTGTCAGCTGTGCCAAGGAAGAGGAGGAAGGAGACAGGGAGCACTGAAAGGTGGCGTGGGAACCCTTGCCAAGAAAAAATGCAGGTTAATGAGGTGGAGTAGCACTGTTGCACTGTGCCAGGGGTCTGGAAACCTGAATGCTTCCAGGCAGCTGTGGTTTTAGTTACCCCTGCCAAATTCCTTTGCAAACAGAGAAGCGAGGAGTGACTCTGTTCAGCCAGCAGCAGTGTTAACTTGGCTTGTTCTCCGGACTTGCCACAGCAGTCACTACTCTTTGAAGTGATTAACGATGTCTTTAATAATAGTAGAGGCTGTGTCTACATAAACCTTTTAGGGAAAGCCTCCAGCACCCGCATGCCGGTATCACCAAAGCAGAGTAAACCCCACCAGGAGTAATTTTACCAGCCTGGTCCAAACGCAGGGCAGCCCACGGAAAGCCTGGGAGGGGAAAGGATAGAGGACAGCCAGCAACAGGTCACCACCTTCTCTATCACCATGACTGACACAAGTGGTGCTTACCATCATATATCAGTCGTGGGGGAGCTGGGCACAGTGTGAGGGACAGCTATGCATCAGAGGAGAGTGATCCCAGACAGGAGAAGAGCAATCTTGTATTTCCAAGAGCCAGTGCTCAAGCTGTTTTATCCTGTTTCTAGATCCCCAGTACACAGATCTCTCCAACACTCAGTCAGGTACCATCATCTCCATCCACATACAATCACAATCCCTGCTCTGAAGCAGGCATTGAGAGGTTAACCTGTGCTCCCACAGGGCACGTTCGCCTCTACACCAAACATTTGGGCTTCAGGAAAGACAAAACCTAATGTGACGGCTGCTTCCTTGGGCACAGGTCTACCAGTAAGGTTGTGCACCATGACTCTGCCTGTATTACTGCCTACTTTGAATGAGAGCACTTCGGGGTGAAAGAACTGGTCTTGACTACTGAATGTGCTCATATAGAGCACGTCCCTTGGAGGTGGGCAGAAAGCAGAAGACAAAACCCCAAGAAGGAGCTGTGTGCAATCCTTCCTTACCGTAAGTATGACACATTCTGCTTGGCGAAGGAATAGAGGGAAAAAACCACTCCCAGGACTGACTGTAAGGATCCCAGCAGCAGGCTCGAGCTGTCATTTCCAACCACATACACCTACGGAGAGAAGGGCACAGGGAGGAGAGTCAAACACCTGCATGGAGCAGAAGGAAGGCAAAGGGAAGGACAAAGAATGTCTGTGCACAGAATGGCTGCTGCCAGGGAGGAGGGCAGAGGGTTTTCAGGCTCTGCTCCTTTCTGTCTGGAGCCTGTTTTCCCTGATTATGCCATATTCTGTTTTAAAAGCAGCCTTCAGCACCATCTTTCTCCCAGCATTTGCTTAACCACAGAAAGGCTCCAAGCTACAGGAACACTGCAGCCAGCTGTTCAAGAAGTCTGCTGCTTAGGGGTAATGCCTTGTGTTAAGAGAGATGCAACAGGCACCTCTGAATTAGCAAATCTTTATGGAAATACTGCACTTAGAGCCAAATCTCAAATACAGAGATCAGTCCCTAGCACGGCAGCTGGGCTGACATGTGCTGAGCAGAGCAAGTGAGTTGCAGCGGCTCTAAGGAAGTTTGTAGGGCTATGTGCCTCTCCTCCATCTCAAGCAGCACCCTCCCAAAACATGGTCAATGCCCTCCTCCACGAAACCAGCACACCCTTCGCAGGCAAGCCACTGCTACCAGCTCACTGCACACAAGTCTTACCTCGCTGCCCACAGAGCAGAGGAAAAACACTCACAAGAGTCTTATGACACTGTGTTTTCTTTTGAATCCTTTTAAAGGAATTGTCTGAAACCAGAAGCCAGGTATGACGCTTTCAGTCAAAGCCATAATGCTGGGAAAACTTGGTCTAGAAAACGGTTAAACACCAACCTTGACCCAGCTGGACACAGGGTTGATGCGTTCAGCTTCTCATTTTATCAGGCTCTATCTCCTGTAGCTTTTAGCTTTGAAAAAAAGGAAGGTGCAGGGAAATAAAAGTCCTTTTATCACTTCTCTAAGAGATTTCCAGCTGTGTGAGACGGTGAACTACCTGTTCAGAAGCTGTTGTTCCTTCACACCAGAGTGCTTCCCACACCTCCAGCCTCTGCAGCTGGAGAATAATCCCTGTTCCAAGGCTGGAGGTGCCCAGGAGACAAACCAAAGAGCTTTTGCCTGCTCAAGGCAGTGTGACAACCCAGGTAGGAGGGAGATTGTCCTGATAACATTCTGCCCTGCTGTATTGATGCAAACAGACCTTTTTTCCTGTGCTAATCCCTGTGGAGCCATTCTTCCTAACCAGAACCTTTTGTACACAAAGCCTCCCTGATGAAGCCCCAAGGATGGTTTCTCACTCAGCATCAAATGACACTTGCCAAGCAAGAAACCCCCACAAATCCACAGGCTGAAGCCTCTGTCACTAATCTGGCTGCTGTCAGGCCTCCAGCACTATGCCATTAAGGAGGGATCCGCCCCAAACTCCCCCAACACTCATTGTGAAGGGAGCCACAGAGCAGCCCTCCAGACTGGTCTCTGCCTGCCAGCTAGTTACAACAAATCATTACTACACAAAATACTACAACAATCACAGCATTTAAGAGCTTAGCCTGCCTAGGGGCATGCCAGTAAGCAAGTCACCAGCTTCTTAAAATTGAATTCCTGGGCTGGAGATGTCCTTCTGGGTTGGAACCTGCAGCAGAGAGCTGGGCTTCTGTCAGAGCAGGCAGCAAAGCCTGCAGTGTGGTGCTGGTGGGAATGGCAGAAAAAGGAACTACGAGGAAAGGTTTCAGAAGAGAGGCCTCCTCCACTGAAAACCCTGTTCCTTAATAAGGATCACAAGATGGACCCTACTTCTTCTCCAAGCACCAGATCCAAGATCTACGCTGCTGAACATCCTGTTTGTAACTCCAAGGGACCTCTTGCACTAAGGAACTCCAAAGAAGGTGCTAAGCCTCCACCGTCCTGCCCACAAGACACATCCTGTTAATATAGAAAGTGATCTGTTCCTGGCAAAGCCAGAGTGCTTTCTTGATGAGATCCAAGTTACCTTCCATTTTCCTTAACCCTCCCCATCCCCAGTACTTGATCCGGGCTGGGAGAGCTGCTGAGCTCAAATAATCCCTTCTGCTTTGAAAGCTGGGCACACAAATCAGCTCCAAGGCCCCACCACTGCCTCCAGGTACTGTCTTGCACTGCAAGCAGCCCCAGAGGAGGTGGATGGACACCAGCAGCTGCTGAAGGATTACCCACCCAGTTTCAAAATTGTTTTCATGAACATGGAAATGCATGTGTCACTGGGTTCAGCTCAGAATGGTCCCTGCAAAACAGCATACTCATTTTTCCTGATATATCATTATCAGTTTACCCTCCTTGTCTAGTGGGACTACACAGACCGATGTTTTTAGCTGCCTGAGAGACAGTAGGGGAAGATGAACCACAGGGGGCACCCCATGGGAACTAACAGCACTGTCCTCCCCCACTTTCTGGGACACCTGAACTGAGGACGCAGCCACTCACAGCATCTCCCCTGTGGCTGAGCTGCTGCCCACCCTCCTTGCCCCATACCCACACATTCTCTGCTTCCTAACAGCAGACATCATGGTAACTGTGAAAGCTCTCCCACCTCTCCCCATGGCTCTGTGATGCCTCCAAGTTCACCTTCATTCTCTTTACACCACAGCAACAGCTCAGCAGCCCCAGAGCCGCACTGAATCTGCTCATTTCATGACACCCACTGCGAATGCATCACTGCCAAGTGGCTGCACAACCACCAAGCCAAGCCAGGGCCCTGCCAAGCTGCCCTCACTGCAGGACCAAGCAGCACAGCCAGCCACTTGCTGATACCTCAAGTGCCCTCTTTCCCAGGTCACTCATTCAGAAGCATTTTGGCCCAGCACAAGACCTGGCTGCCATTCATTCCTCTGTGAGGAACTAATGCTGCAGGAGCTGTAGAGGCTTCGGCTCCAGCACTGGCTCAGGCTGCCCTCTGCAGACCTCAGAGGCAGGAAGAGCAGCTCCCAGAATTCCTGGGAATAACTCCCTCCCACACAGGTAACAGGGCTCAACGTGAGCCTTATTATCCATGCTCTACAGGAAAGAAACTGAGGCAGAGCCACTAAAGAGAAGGGGATCAGCAACAGCCTGGGAGGAGAGCTCAGGCATCCTCTGAAGAGTCAGCACCTGCAGATTCCCTGCAGTCTGTCCTTCCCTCTGACCAGCTGCACAATGCTGATGCTGGAAGGTAAGCAGCAGCATCACCTCAGACCAGGACTGACAGCTCAAGGCAAGGTGTGCCAGGTCCATGGACCTCCTGACTAGGGCCTCCTGCTGTGTTGGAATCCTGCAGAAGCTGCATAATTTAGCAATGCTCACAAAATCTTGCTGCAGCTCATGGAGAAAAAGGATATGAAAGCACCATGGAGACTCCTGGCTCCCAGCCCACTGCTCAGACTTGTCTTACTTTGACGCACCAGAAAGACATTGGGAAAAAAACAGCAAGAGCTCACTCCCATCTCAGAACATTTAGGGGTGAGAACATTTGAAGGGACTCAGGCAGCGCCTCTGGTATCCAACATAAAGCTGCAGTCCCACCAGTGCAGCATGGCATAGGAGGTTACTCTGCACAGCTCTTGGCCTCACCTCAGCATCACAACTGCAGGGGACACTGAGTTTTGTCACGGTCACACACACACTGAACTGCTCAGAAAGTCTCAAAGCAGCTCTTAAGAGTAGTTTTCTCACCTACCCTCAGGCCTTAATCAGACACAATACCTTGAGCACATCTTCCACGCAGCTGCCAAGCTCTGCCTCTGTCACCAGCACAGCCCCTGCTGATAGATCTTCCAGTAGTAGCTCTGAAAACAAAGGGCAGAAACATCAGCACCTCCACACTCTGGGGAGTCTCCAACAGAACAGCAACCCCACCATGCCCAGCACCAGAAAGCACACTTTGACAGCTCTCTTGCTTTCCCTCCATCAAGGCAGCATGGGAACCAATGAGCCCTCATTAGCTGCTCTAAATATCACTACACTGTTGTAAACACCTCAAGGTTAGAAGCCAGTTAAAGCAGACCACAACCTCTCAATGGATTATTCCCTGGAGAGCTGCTTGGTCAGCGTGGGGAACCGACAGCTTCCGTCCAGAAGCCCAAAACAAGACTGTCAGACTGGGAGAGTTTCCCAAGGAACTCATGGCAGAAGCCCCACTATTCAGCTTTTAGACTGCAGTAATTTGACTCAGGTGCTAGTACATGCGCTGCACCCAGCCACAGAGACACATTCACAACTGGCAGGGCTGGGCTTTCACGCTCAGCAGCCCAGAAACCGGCCAGGGAAAATTCTGATAGAAAGACAAAAGACCAAGGAAAAAAGAAAACAGACTCCTGTCTGATCAGCCAGTACCTGCTGTCTCTGAGCATCGCAGCAGCGGTGCCAGCAGGGGCTGGAGCAGGTACTTCTCTGCCAGCTGAGGGTGCTCTTTCGCCATGGTGAGCAGCGTCGTGGTGGCCACACGCTGGAACTGGAGCGCTGTCAGCTTGTCCTGGATGTGCAGCAAGCCCAGAACCTGGAAGGGAAGTCCACAATAAAGGAACAAAGATGAGCAGCACCTCAGAAGGGGGCCAGGCAGGCTTCTTGCAGCCAACAGCACATTGAGGAGCCTCTTGTATGCTGTAACATTACATGAGCTGTTCTCCTTCCCATGTGCATGTTAATGTGGGATGAATTTCTGGCTCAAATCAAGAGCCTGCACCACTCCCACAGCCAAAGGCTGGAAGCAAGAGCTCCACAGCAGAGAGCTCCTTGTAGCGCAGCACTGAACAGCTCTCGTGCCATCAGGAAAAATTATGCAGCATTTCAATCAAACATGGAAAATTCAGGAGTAGGGAGGAAATACATCCCACTGCCAGAGCAGCAGAAACACAACTCCACGTTGTCCTAGCTTGAGCCAGGCCATGCTCGAGCGGATGTGACAGTACCAACACTCTCCAAGCTGGAAGCTGGCTCTGCATTCCCAGTCAGGGCCAGCAGTGAAGGGAAGGGAAGAGATAGACCTACCTGGGGACAAACCAGTCGGTAGTACTCCTGCAGGGAACGGCACTGCTGCGGGCAGGAAGCCAGGATCTTTGCAACCGCGTCGCATTTTCTCCAGTCCACAGCTGCTGCCTCAGCACCAGCGCCACCTGCTACAGCAGCACAGAGCCAAGATCAGCTCCGACCGACAGCAAACAGCATGGAAAGGTTTGGCTGAAGCCAGATGTTTCTGGCCCAGAAAAAAAAAAAAAAGGCATTTCTGGCTTTTACTACCCTCTTTAACCATGCCTCTTTCAGGAGACACCTAAACCTAAGGACAGAAAGGGAAAAAATACTATCCAAGATATCTGATGATGGAAAACAGCTTCTACAAATAGGTGCAAGAGCCAAAAAGTAGAGGGAAGTCATGCTTGGATGGTGTCATCAGGTTGGTATTGGCTGGAGGTGGCTCTGGCACTAAAAACCATGGGATTCAGCTTTTAGAGAGCAACAGTTTCCTTCCCTGGCAGGAAATGGGAGAGCAGGAGAGCAAGGCTGCTGAGCCCAAGAGTAGGACAGGTCTCACTGCGGCTGCTCACAGCCCAGCACCACACACAGCTCCCACGAAACCATCACTGGCACAGCTCCTCAGAATGAACACACACAAGGTGTGACCCCATGGAGGTATAAACAGGTTAAATGAGTTCAGGGGCTTTTGATCTGGACCTCAAATGGGATGGTGTACCCCAAACTAAAAGCGTTTGCAGTTGGAAGGCATTCACCATTTGGGAGTTCTGCATAGCCAGAGGCAGAATCTGCGTGTATGTGACAGAGTCAGCCTGGCCTGACAAAAGCTGTTTCCCATTTCAGTGTTCTGATGGCACTGCCTGTCTTGGGCCTCTTGTGGGATCGAACATCTCAGACACATCATCACAGTCTCTTTTAATCTGCGACACTGGAAGCCAAGAGCAGTGTCAGAGCACCCTACTCACCGCACGTTCCCTCCATGATGCCCCGAACCACAGCCTGAACCCCACTGGGTCTCATCAGCCTCTCGGAGAGCAGCTGACCACAGAGGCGCCGCAGCCACCCCGGGGCCCGCACAAGGGCTGGCTTTGTTTCTTCCCCAGGAGAGGAAGGACTCTGAAAGGAAACAAAGGAGCTGGGTAAGGAGCATATTTGCACACCCCTGTGCACCCCCCACTGACAGGCAAACAGCCTGCACCCTGCCCTCCATGACTTGTGACCAGATAGGAGCACAGGACAGGGAAAGGTTTTAAATAAATCACTTCTTCATCCAGCAGCACAAAGCAAATTAAGGCTTAATGAGAGAGGCCAGCCTCCCCAGTAACAGCCCCTTGTGCAGCCCCTTTAATTAAGCCCCTCTCCTTAATTAAAGCCTACCAGGATCAGGCAGCAGCTCTGACTGCCTCATTACCAAAATGAAGCACAGGGAGCCTGGGGGACAAGTCAGGTTTGATGCAGGTAAGGGGTCTGCAGCAGTGAACCCTGCCAGGATGTGGCACACTGTGCTGCAGAGGTGGCACTGTGAGCCCTCAGGGTCCCTATTTGAGCAAAGCAATCCCCCAGGACAGCAGGAACAGCAGAGCTGTCAGGAGACTGCAAACCCATAGTGTGAGCTGTCTGAATGGAGGCGTCTGCCTGGACACCCTGAGAAGACAGGCCAGCCCTGCTGTGTTTAGGGAGATAGAAGAGAACATTTTCAGCTGGAAGGGGCCTATGCTGATCATCTAATCCAACTGCCTGATCGCTTCAGGGCTGACCCAAAACTACAGCATGTTACTACAGACATTGTCCAAAGATCAGCTTGGGATGTCAGCTCAGCTTGTTTAACCAGGAGACCCCTGTTTTTCTGCAGAACCACTGTGGACTGAGAGCAAGGCCCTGCACAAGCAAGCACCTCGTATGGACCCTGTCCATCCCTCACAGGTGGGACAACCAGCTTCTGCCTTTGGGAACTGCTGTGATACCAGCTGGAGGATCACTTTGTGGCAGACAGCTGCACCTAATCCAGTGACCCTGCATTACCTGTGTCCTGACCCCCAAACCATGACACTGCAGGTGGGCACACACCCACCCACAGCACCCTTGGAGCAGGGATCTGTGCTCCCTTCCCCAAGGACTTTCTAAAAGCAGTATCAAGATTTCCCATCTCCTCCTCCCCACCACCACGAGGCAGCCTTTGAAAAGGCCTCAAGCACCAGGCAGTGCTAAGGCAGCACTGTTTTGCTCCCCTCGCATGGAGAGGGGAAGGTTCTGGAAGAGCAGGCGCTTTGCTTGGCCAGGCACAGCAATGGAACTGCCAAGCCAAGGCAGCATGTGCTACAATGAGAGATCACACTCACCCACACACCCATACAGCAGGGCCTGAGCTGCTGCCATGCATGGAAAGCACACCCAGCAGCCTACAGACGCAGGGACCGGCGTGCTGCACTGGTTTGTAAGGTGTGAGCACACTGCAGTGGAGCAGCAAAGGAACCCTCTGAGGGTGAGAACACACAGTCCCTGCGCTCCGTGCCAGCGGCTCCCTGCTACCTCTGGGTACCTGCTTAGGCCGTCCCTGCAGGATGAGCAGCTCCCGCACCGCCAGTGGCTGGTAGATGCGGTCCAGGATGTGCTGCAGGGTTTCCCGGCATCGTGCTCGCTCTGCTTCCGAAATACCCTGTTCAAAACAAACCCCAGGGCGGGGAGGACACCGGCATTAAACCCGCTGGTCCCGACTCCGTGCCGGAGCCCCTCCAGCCCTTCTCCAGGCTCCCTGGTTCCCATCTATTCCCCTGCATGAGGATTAACACGCGTTGCATGGGAGATGCTACTGGGAGCTATGGGGCTCCAGCCACGGGGCGTGAGCTTGGCTGGGTACTAACACCGGCACCGAGGGGATGGAAGCAGAGACCCACGGACCTGGCTGTAGGCAGCAGGTCCATGGCCCAGCAGGCAGAGGCTGGCGAGAAGGAGGCCCAGGTGGCGGGCGAGCAGCGGGGCACCCAGCGCAGGGTGCTGGGCCAGCTCGGACAGGGCGGCGGTGGCAGCGTGGAGCCGGGCCCCGCTGGTAGCCGGCGGTGCCGGGGCCGGCGCGCGGGGCCCCGGGAGCTGCCCCACTCCCGGCGGCAGGTAGGGCACCAGGCCCAGCCCCACGGCGGCCCGCAGCGCCCGCCCGACCGCCCGGCCCTGCGCCACGCTCAGAGTGTCGGCGCTGGGCGGCGGAGCGGCCCCGGCCCCGGCCCCACGGGCGGCGGGAGCGGCGGCGAGCTCGGCCAGGCGCTCCTTGAGGCACAGCAGCAGCGCCAGCAGCGCGCAAGCGGCGGCCCAGCACGGGTCGGCTTCGCTCGCCGCCCCGGCTGCCAGCGCGGGGGCCCGGGCCAGCACGGCACGGCGCAGGCCGCGCAGAGCCGCCCAGCCCGGCTCCCGCCGCAGCTGCTCCTCCAGCGCCGACACGTTGCTGCGCAGCGTCTCCAGCCGCAGGGCACCCTCCGGGCCGGGCACGGCCCCGCCATCCCGCTCACCGGGCCCGGCGGGCGGCCGCAGCAGCAGCTCAAGCGCCTCCACCACCCGCTCCACATCCAGGCCCGCCCCCGGCTCCATGCCGCCCGCCATCTTGGGGCCGCCGCGGAGGGGCGGGGCGGGGCTCGCCGCCGCCATCTTGGGGCGGGCGGGAGGGGAGGGGGAGTCGTGCTGACGGCCGCCATGTTGGGCAGGGCAGGGCGGGAAGCGGAGGCCTGAGGGGCCGCCCCGGTGTGGCGGCGGGGCCCTCAGAGGGACGTCAGCCCCCCTGTTGTCTGTGTGGGGACGTGGTGGTGCGGGCCCCGTCTGCAGCCCCGCTGGAGGGTGAGGTGTTCTGTGGGAGCCCCCACGCCGAGGCTCGTCCCTGTGCCGAGCGCAAGCTCCGGCTGCGTCCAACAGAAGTTAACAGCTTCCAGAGAGAAAACAGCGGTTCTGCAAGGGAAGAGCCCCAATACATGGTGTAATGGGCCTGTGGAGGTGGAGGTCCCTGCATGTGCTCCATCCCTGGCAGTGCTCAAGGCCAGGTTGGACAGAGCCTTGGTGTGCCATGGTTTAGTGTGAGGTGTCCCTGCCCATGGCAGGAGGGGTGGAACTTGGTGATCTTAAGGTCCTTTCCAACCCTAACTATTCTGTGGGTCTATGCACAAGGTGAGGTCCCAGTTAACACACAAGAATTGGGATGCTTGTTCAGTTCATGTCTGCACAGGGGTGGGTGCTGGGTGGTAACCCCACAGAGCTGTCACAGCCTCTCCTGTCCGCCAGTTGCACATTTCAAATGGGGAAAAGCAGAGTTTTCCTTACATAAAACAGCCTGTACCTACAGCCATTGGCTCTTGTCTGTTTAAAACCACAGTACTTGTGTCACTGTGGATGTTCTGTGAGCAAGGGTCTCAACTCGGGGTGTGACTTTTAGAATTACGATGAATCACATTCCTTTAGAACACAGTTATCTTCAGTTTTTATGAGCTTTCCAAAATCAGTTCTGCCTTCCTCATCTTTCTGAAGTGACTTGTCACTCTTCTGGTGCAGATGGTTCACTGGTCGCTCTTCTACCTCTCCTCAAGGTGTGTGAGCTGGTGAGGAAACACCGATTTATCCTGCTACACGCAACTCTAAGCTCAGATTGCAAGGTTCTGCACACATAATCCTTTACAATACCTTAACTTTTTCACTGGTGGATAACGATGGGTGTCGGTGCGGGCTCTTGAGGTCAATGGCCAGACCTACCTTTGGAACAAACAGGCTGTGTGCGTGTTGCAAAGCACACTGAAGAGCAGCTCGCCTCCCCAGGAGCGTAATGAGGCAGGATGACTGCCTTTGCCACCCTCTTATGCCTCGAAGCCTTCGAGCACTGCAGGGTGCGTTGCTCCCTTGTGTTTCCTCACAGGGCAGGGCCTCTGAAGGGAGGTCACAGCAATGCCGGGGCTGGACAAACATCAGCAATCTCTCACTCTTGCTAACAGCTTCCTCACCTCTGCTGTGTGCAGGTCACGGTGTCGGGCCAGCGCATGCAGCCACCACGGTAAGCACAAGCCTGGTTTTCATGCTGTGCCCTTCTCTTTTTCTCTAGGACTCATCCAGGGAGAGTTGGCGCAAGGCAAAGCTGGGACCTCCTGTTAGTGGCCAGGCCTTGGTGATGAGAAAACACTCGTTCTGGTATGGATACATCCCTCTTACACAGATTTGGGTGTTTCCCATCTGCCCTTTGGAGGCAGCAGTGGCCACAGCTACAGGGAGGAATGGCTCCCTGCAAGCAGGCTGACCACCAAGCACAGCAAAGGCAGTGCAACCAGCAGAGCTGCTTTTGGTTTTCTTAAGACAATTTATTATTTCAATTTTATATAAAAACCTTACAATCAACACTAGACAACTGCTGGCTTCCCAGCCCACATTAGACCCTTTTCCCATGATAAAAAATACAAACAAGCTAAAACAGAATTCAGAATTTCAGTGAAGCCGGTTTGATTTCCGAAAGCGCCTTTCATTGCACAATAATTACACCTGGCATGACACAGCAGGAAATCATCATAATCTGGGATACAGAAAAATAGAAATCTGCCTGTATGTACTGTATCAAATATAAATCCCCCATGTATAGCGCATGACGGCGCATCTTTGGTCTGCATTTATGCATCACCTCACCCCGCTCCAGCAGAGGCACGGTGCCAGGGCTGCCCCGCTTCTCCAGCAACAGCTTTGTAAGCTGAGCACAGTGGCAGGTTGGTGGTTGTGTCTGGGTAGGGAGCACGAGGTACTTTGGAGAGCGTCAGAGAAATCCTATTTCCCCTGTAGCAAAGGGAGGGAGGCAGTGGGAGCCTGTGCCTGCTGGGGAAAGAGGAGCTGACCCTGGTCCACGCAGCCAGGATGGGTAAGGGGCTGGATAGCTCCATGCCCTGCCTGGAGCTGAAGGGGGCAAAAAATAAGGAAGATCCCCAAAAAAAAGCCCTCCCTAGCCCTGGTGACCCTGCAATTCCCCTGCGCCGACTGAGGGGGACGTGGACATCAGGGTGAGGAGTGTTGGAGGCAAAAACCAACATCAGTCCAGTGGGGTGAAATGAGGCAAGCTGCCTAGGCTGGGCGGCTGGCAGCCGGGCCAGGGGTCCTAGTCATCCTCCTCCCCACCGCCGTACAGGTCTGCCAGCTTCTTGAAGCGGTTGCCCCACTCGTTGAGGTAGTCGTAGTCCTGGTCACGGTCGGAGGAGGAGGAGTTGAGGGAACTGAGTGAGGTGGCCTCAGAGCCGCTGCCCTCATAGTCGAACACCAGCAGGGAGTCATAGGGGGGAGCTGTGGGGTCTGTGTCAGCTGCCTTCAGGTTCTGGGTGAGGAGAGAAGAGGGGTCAGTGCCCATATCCCCTGGGCTGGGGGTACCCCAATGGTGCTGGCATGGATCAGTGTCTTCAACCCCCAAGTCCTGCCTGGAGCACCGCATGGGGCTGGTGCTCACCTCATCGATGAAGTTCCCAATCTCATCGGGGTTTGCAGGACGAGGCCGGTACTGAGGGGCAGCCATCAGTGGGGGGGCCACATCATTGCGGATCACCTCAGGGCGGGCATCCAGGCCCCGGTGCAGCTGACTCAGGTCATAGTCCTGTGTAGGGATGGAGGAGGGAGAACATGAGGAGACAATGCTCAAGGGATACCATAGGCACCATTATGGGAAGGACCAAAGGTGTCACAGGGAGCCAGCAGGGCCAGCCCGGCAGTCATCCCACCTGGTCCTCTTCTCCACCACCCTCCTCGTCATAGTGGTAGACATTGTCCCGCATGTCATCCTCAGGTGGGAGCAGCGGCTCCTTCACCACCTTCCTTCTCCTGGCGAAGAGCAGCAGCAGCAGCAGCAGAACTGCGAGCAGAGGGCACCACATCAGCATGGCAGGGTGAGCGTGAGCTGTCCCCATCCCCATCCTGTCCCCATCCCACAGTACTCACTGAGCAGTGCCAGGATTCCACCTAGGATGCCCAGGATGGCAGGGACGCCCAGCCCGCTGGCGATATATGCTCGCCGCTCGCAGTTCTTGGCTGGCCCTTCGCAGTCACAGACCTGAGCTTTGACCTGTGTCACCTGCGACTTGCTTTGGCCATCAGTCAGCTTCAGATAGATGCTGTACTCCCCCGGCTCCAGCTCCTTCATCAGCTTCAGCACCAGCTGGTCTGGCAGCAGAGAGAGCAGATGGGCTCAGAGGTGCACCCTCGCTCCTTGGTTTGGGGACACTCTTGGCACTAGTGCAGTCCCCCACCACAAAGGGCAACACCAGCTGTGCTTGGGAGGGAGCACAGAAAGCCAAGGGGGCCTGGCATGGGCCCTTGCTCATCGTCACCCTGCCACCCCACACCGAGAGCAGATGGCCAGGCCAGAGCAGGCAGCACCTACCTTGTCCTTTTGGTGTGACAGTCCAGTTGGTGCCAGAGCCGTGCTCCAGCGCTGCCTCAAAAGGGTAGGTGTTGGGCGGCAGGTCCTTGTCAATGATGGTCAGGGTCTGATCCTCAGGCTGTCGGTTGCAGACATCGAAGAGCCGGGGCTCCGGCATGGGACCATTGTCGTTCACGTCCTGGAGAAGGAGGAGGAGCGTCCCCGTGCCAGTGGCATCCGGTGACCCTGCAGTGGTAACCTGGGGGTTAGTGTGGCACCTGGGGAGGTGGTCCTAGCCCAGTCCCTGCCCCAGGAACTGTGGTAGGACACAGGTGGGTGGCAGCAGCCCCTTCCCAAAGGGCAAGGCAGGCTGCTCCTCACCATTGTCCACAGCCAGGACGATGGCCTTGTAGGTGCTGTTAATGGCGTGCACCGACTCCCGGTCCAGCGGCTGGGCTGCAGTGACGATGCCATTCTCAGGGTCGATGGCAAGCCACCCCGCAGGGTCACTGCCCATGCGGTACCTAGGGCAAGAAGGGGACAATGGGGAGGATGCTGTGAAGGGGAGGAAGGGGTGCATGGCACAGTGGGTACAGTGCAGCCTCTCGGGCACTGCAGCACGGCTCCTGCCACCAACTTTCCTATACTCACGTGATTTTCTGTCTCTGATCCTTATCAGGGTCCTGGGCCGTGTAGGAGGTGACCTCGTGCCCCACCGGCAGGTCCTCCATCACCTCCACCCTCTTGACAGGGGGCACAAAGACAGGGGCTTCATTCACATCCCCAACCGTCACCAGGACTGTGGCAGAGGAGAGTGGCAGGGACACGGTGAAGGGGACGGCGTTTTCCACTGTCACCACGAGGTTGTACTGGCTCCTGGTCTCGTAATCCAGGCCCTGGTGGGGAGCAGCAGCAGAGAGGAGCTGGGCAGCGCTGACAAAGAGGCAGGTGGCATTGAGGTGGCTGCACGACAGCACAACCCACCTTGGCTGTTTTCAGGATGCCATCGTTGGTTCTGGGGTCGGTGGTGATGCTGAATTCGCCATCCTGGTTCCCAGTCTTGATCTTGTAGACAGCTTGCCAGGCTGGAGAGCCTGGCATGTCCCGGTCCGTCACATGCAGCCGTGTCACCACCACCCCCACCTCATTCTCATTCACCGTTCCCTGGTACTGCAAAAGAGGCAATGGGGAGGGTCAGCCCCATGGTCCCAGACCCCCTGAGGAAAATGGACTTGTATCAAGACGGCCCAGGGAGGGCAGTGGCTCATGGGAGCCAGCTCAGGTACCATGGTGGGGTCAAAGACA